TTTGTTCTTGAGCATTCTTATCTACGTTGTCTTCAATAGTAAGCATTTGTTTTAAATCAAATACAAATTCAGGCACACTTACATCTGCTTTTCCTACCAATTCTTCACCACAATGGATTTCCTTCTCTTTCCCCTCACCAAAGCTAGTGAACTTTTCCTCATGGATCAAAGTGCCTTCCTCTTTGTCAGAGATAGAACTTCTGAATGCTTGCTCTTTTTCTACTCTGAACAGTTCTTGCTGTTCATTGGCTACTGCCTCCTGCAGATTTTCTTTGTTTACAACCTCATCGTCAAGTTGTTCTTCCTTAGGTGCACTTTGGAGTTCATTGTTTATATTTTGCAGATGTAACATACTTCTCTCTTCTATGGCTGACTGATCCTGAGAATTCTTGCTTAATATATCAGTAAAACATTGATCCTTCTCATGGATATCGCTGTCTTCTTGCAGCAGTGTGGAAAACCTATGATCCATAGATTCTTTTGCACTTAACTCCTGCTCAAAAGTGCAGATTTGTTCTTTAACTTCCTTAAATGGTATGTCTGTGATTATCTCACTTGAAGGTATTTCCTCGTGTGATATACCTTGAGTTGGTCCATACTGAAGACTCTCCGATTCTGGTTCCAGGTATGCTAGTGTGAATTCCTGATCTTTAGAAATCTTCTGCATCTTCTCAAATATGTCTCTTATAGTTTCCCCTTCATCTTTTACATCATGACTTACAGAAATGTCTTCTCCTGTAACTGACTTCTCTCTTTCCGCATGACTCTCTACAACCATTTCAAATTGACAGCTTGATGATATTTCCATAGCTGCGTGTTTATATGTGCTTTCTACTTTGGCTTGCTCAGCAGCTGTATCTCTAAATTCCTCAACAAGTGGAGTGTCTGCTAAAATTTCTGAAATACTGGCTACCTTTTGTTCTTCTTTTGCATTTGACTCCATCTCTTTATATACTTCTTTTTGCTCCCAGATCTGGAAATGTGGGTGTTCACTTTCATCAGCAAGCAGAGACTTCATTACATCATTTAGATAATTTGGCAGCTGGGATTCCATTTCCTGGGCTGGTCTACCTGTTTCTTCCCCTCCGAAATCCAGTTTACTAACACTGTGGAACTGCTGGCTTACAGAATACGCTTTATCGCTAAAACTACTTTCCGTAAGTCCTACTGAGGATTCAAAATAACTCCCCAAATGTTCTTTTGCAATCTGGTCCTGAGTTCCTCTGACTTGGCTTTGGACAGCTTTGAGCTCAGTTTCATCAGAAAATATGTCCACCGTGGGATCAACTGAAAGATAACAAACAGTTTCGACTATGCCAGCTTTGTTTTCGGCAACACATTTGTACGTGCCAGCATCAGATATGGAAACCTTGCAAACGTGCAACCTATAAAAGCCATCTCCCTCCTCAAAGTAAAACTTTTCAGTGGGGATTAAAATCCCATCATTCTGCAACCATGTTACAATTGGCAGTGGTTCTGCAGATATTAAGCATTCAAGTACCACCGAATCCCCTTCTCTACATCTAACGTGTTGTTGAATTTCTTTTAAGATTTTGGGGGGTTCATGAGCCACATCAAACGAAAATTTAAACTTATGCTTTAGTCCTGCGGAAGTTTGTTCTTCAGGGGCTTCTTCAGGCACAAACTCAACAAACTGAGTTAATTCTTTAAATTCTTCATCTTGCTCTGGAGTTGGGGTTGGAGCGGTTATTTTTATTTCCACAGGAAGTGAAAGCAGATCTGGATCAGAAATGCAAGGTCTGGGCAGGTTAATCTGTGGAGGCAGGAGAGTGGCTCTGCCATCCATACTTAAATCAGGTCCATCTTTTTTTGAATACTCAAATGCCAAACTGAGTTCCTCTTCCTCTTCCGCATAGTCTGGTGAAAGCTCAACTTTACATATACTGAATGGTTCAAATTCAGGCTTTTCCTTTACTTTCACTTTTAGCGTTCCTGAAGTTGTAGCAGTCCCATGCTGGTTAAATATCACACAAGTAATGGAGCCTTCCTGATCACGGACAATGGCGGAGAATGTCAGGGTAGAACTATTTTCTGTGTTTCTGATGTTACATTCTTGGTTACGTGACAGCGGCTTGTCATTGTTATACCAAGTGACTGTGACCTGTGGATGGCCTTGGAAATCACAATTAAAAATACAGCTCTCTCCTTCGCTTACTTCTTGCGATTCAATTTCATGAACAAAGAAAGGGGGGCATGGCTCCAGATATTTCGGAAGAGGCCTCACCAATTTGTCAGGTGGTTCTGCTATCTCCGTTTCTGTTTCAGTGACCTCAGCCAACGCAGACTCTTCAGTTTCAAGGGAGCATTTGTTTACTGACATTGCCGTTTCTACAGTTTTGCTCACTTCCCTGATCTTAAAAACAGGCGCAGGTTCATTAATGTTCAATGTGATTGTATCAGACATCATCATATCAGGTTTCCCTCTCTCACTGACATCATCTTTCTCTCTCACACTGACATCATCTTTCTCCCTCTCACTGACATCATCAGTCAAAAGTACATATACCAGGGGAGAGGGGTTTTTCTTAATGGTTTTTGTCGCCTTGAAGTCTTGAGTATCCATTCTTGCTTCTTCTGATTTTCCATGGCTATAAGTATAGTTCATCCATCTTGTGTTCCCAATTGCCTTTGGATCTTTTTCTGGAACTTGTGGCTTCACGTTCCCTTTAGAGGCTACTACCTCCTGTCTCCGGAACATTCCTTCCCTATTGCTTTTATCAGGAAAATCCTGGAGAATCTGAGGAGGTCCAGGAAGGCCCAGGATCCGTTCCATTCTAACCTGAAATTTTTCTGATGTTTTCTCAAGCTCCCTGCTAGAACTTCCTACAGTAACTTCTTTAGTGCCTGACACTGTCGGTAACATGGCCTTTTCATTAATCTGCTCTATAGTTTGGAAAGCAAGTCCCTTTGTCTCTACATGAGATGCTGCACAGATTGAACGAGCCAACGGGCCTCTTTTATTTCCAATTCCTACAATTTTCGCAGAGGGGAGATGTTCCTCTGTCGATCCCTGTGATAGAAGCACTTTTTTCTTTTCCAGCATGGCTTTTTTTGCCTCGCGAAGTCGCTGCAACTTTACTTTTGTTTCCTCGTCAAGCAAAGCCTCTCCCTCACTACACCCCCTACCTGCGCGCCTGTTTCTTACCCAATCCTTATCGTATACAAATCCTTTTCTTAAGGACGAGAGGCTTTCAAAGCTTATGGTCCTCACCATCCCTTTGGTAGGAGAAAAAGCTCTCAGGGCTTTCTCGGTTTCCTGCTTCTTATCAAACGGAGAACCAATACACCGCAGATCAACTTTGAACCTATCGCCTCTCCTTTTCTGCACCAGATGCTCTATACGTTCACAAGTACTCTCTGACTGTCTCAAAAACTCTAGGTATTTGGCATTTTGTTTGTCACCATGTGCTACCAACAATGAAGCAGTGGACTCAGCCGAACCCTCACTGTTAATAGCAAAAACCTTGTAACTCCCTGAGTCCCTTTCCTGAACTTCTTTTACCTCTAGACTGGAGCTGTGCATATCCATGCAGCTCTCACTCTTTATTCGCCTTCGCAGACTTTGGGGGATTTGCCTGTTGTTATGGTACCATGTTATTTGGGGCAAAGGAAGGGCACTCAATTTGCACTGGAAAACAACTGGCTCTCCAGCCATAACAGACCGATACTTTAACTTTTGTGTGAAAGAAGGTTTCTGTTTCTCAGGCCAGGAATGCATAAATGACATTCCACTTGTGCCCTTCAGATCCGGGAGAGATCCATGTTGCGGAAGATCTACGGAATCAGCAGAAGCAGCCTGTTTGCCAGCCGGGTTTTCTGCATATTCTGGCTCTTCACCGAAGAACAGTTCTGCAAAAGAATACCATTACATTACAGCGTACTCCGTCCTTTCCATCACACAGTTGGGAAAAAAAATGAAAAGAAATGAAATAGCTATAAATGAAATTAAATAATGAGCATGCAACAGATTCATCACAAATCCATTAAAAAAAAATTCACTCACCATATTTGTTCGAATAAACGCAACGCCTTGCTCTGTTTTAAAGATTCTGACACGAAAATCGTTCGCTGTCGGTTCTTTCTTCCAACTGCGGAAATTTCTTCATCAACAAGCAAAATGAATCTCAAAATGACATGTTCCTGTGGGTGCATGTTTTACTGCCTGAAAAGCTTTTTATTTTTTTGTAATTTTTTTTGCATTTCTTCTTTGCAAAGAAGGGGAGGGGAATCTTACCTGACTTGCAGACAGTAGAATAAACGCCCTTTCTGATCCCTTTGATTGTGGGTTAAAATGGTCAAACAATAGAAAAGATATTTTTCAAAGATATGAAAAAAAGTCAACTGTAAGTAATTTGCTAAAACAAAATGAGAAGGCGTTTATTCGAACTAATACAGCTGCTAACTTCACAATGTTATGCAAAAAAAGAAAAAAGGAAAGAAAGCAAGCAACATGGCCCAACTATGCTATCTGCAAGCCAGTGTAAGAATTTCCATAAAGGAGAATTAATATCATGTTCATGAAATGGGAGGGCAACAATGGAAACAGGCCCCTTTCCCATCTTGCAAAGTGTTGCATCTTAAACAGATGCCAGCCCATGGTTTTTGACCAACTCATTCATGTTAGAGGACTAATGTGTTCTGAAACCATCCGAAGCAATTCAGTCTAAAATTGTCCCATGCATTAGAAGAAGGTATACGAAAGAAAAGCTTTTGCAACCAGCTGCATAGCACGATGTGAAAGTAAAGACGGGCAAATCTGTGAAAATGAAAAGTTTTAAATGAACTTTAAAACTTGTATCCTTTTTGTAATAATGCAGGTTATCCTGAGCATATTAAAACAAAACATGCGGCATATTCAGATATGCTTCAGAATATGTTTTGCTTTCTTGGTCATACGTATCAGCTTTTCAAAGGGGTTACTGGTTGTTGTTTTTATGCTAAACCTTCCTTTCCATATAAACGTTTGTGTGCGACTGTACCTTTCACTTCCATTTCAATTTGTTGTTCTATCTTCTCCTGCAGAACTCTTTCCAGGGCTGTAATAAAAATAAAAGTGTGATTTAATGGAAAGCGAGTTGAATGTTGCAAGAGAAGAAAATAAAAATGATGCATTGATAGGGGGAGGAAAAAACCACACAAACATACATACATACATACATACATACATACACATACATGCCAGGAAGTGCCTGATAAGTTGAAAACAAATAGTGGGAGGATGCTAAAGTATTGGGGATTTCCCCCCCACAGCATTTTAAAGGAGCCTTTCCCTCTCCCCACCCTCTCCCTCTCTTTCTTTTTCTAATTCAACATGCCTTTAACATGCCTTTAACACCATGAGGAAAATATTCAACAATCCACAGCCGCTTCATTATATCACGGACTGTGGATTGAACAGGTTTCAACGACGGTACGCAAGAGGAGTATATGGAAGGAACATGCAGTTGCCAACCTGTCACTCTCAGATGTGTGCTGCACTCGGCTTGTCCCGCAGAATTAACTATTCTGCACTTGTATATACCCCTCTGATTCTCCTTAACTTTCAGTAAGTTTAAACTGCACAGTGGGCCATCGTGCCTTAAAGAGCACAATGCGGAATCCTCAACTATTAGCTGGTTATACAGCCAGATGACACAAGGCGTAGGGAACCCCTTGATTACACAGAACAGCGAGACATTATCTCCTTCTTTGACAAAGCTTTCTGGGGGCAGAGTTTCAAGGAAGACTGGTACTGTGGCACCAGTTTCGGCGATGTCTTCGCACGGCACAACATCAGGGTAGTAGTCTCTGATCCTCAGTTTCTCAGCTTCTTGTGCTTTTTGGGCTGTAGATATTGTCACGCTCGTCGTTTCCGTGGAAGACTCTTGTTTATATTCATAGGCTGTTTTAATCTGAGACTCTTTGCTTGTTTTAATGCTTTTAGTATCTGATTCAAGGGTAATTTTTGTTACTGTTCTGGCTTGTGCTTCTTTAGCTAGGCAAGAATAAAGTTAGGATAAGATTAGATGTTTTGCAGCAAAAAAAAAAAATCTATACTCAGCAATATATATGTATATAAAAGCCATTAGTATGGTAAAAAGAATGTTCAGCGTGTTAGTGCAAAAAACAATTGAATTTCCAGTCTTTTATACTATCCTGTTCCACATTTAAGGGCTCTATTCATGCCAGGTTAAATAGAAGGTGCAATTAGATCCACAGGATTTGCGTCACTGACATCAGAGGAAATAGGATTGGCCCACAGTAATTTTTACAAGGACATCTTCAGTTTTAGTCAAGGCTTCTTCTGCATAGCGTAGAAGGCAGCTGCAGCTGCAATGCTTTTCAATGATGTGTAGAAAAGTCAGGAAATCCACCAGTTTGTAAAAGCAGGATATATGGCACTGTTTGGGGTTCAGGTTGTTGTTCCTACTCTTCTGTGTGCTAATCGTGCAGCTATTTCCATGCCATGAGAAGAAAACCAAAAGTCAATTCTTAGTCTTCATTGCTTAAACACAAGAGAGGACTATAGGTAAAAACATTTGTGGCACCTTCATCATCTGGTGTTGGTTGGAAAAGCAAGGCACATGACACATGAAAGTTTCTTTGCCTTAACCATAACAAATTGTTGTGGTCAATAAAAGAATGGAAAAAAGATGCAAAATTCCAATTTTAAAAGAAAGCTGGTATGGGTGGAAAAGGGCATTCAGAGAATGGCTCTGTTAATGGCAGTCAATATCTGCATAAAACCCTTTGTAAACTAGAATAGCCTACATTAAGTTAGACTACGGTAGCTGTTTTTTGTTTAAAAAAAACTTTCACAAAAATTAACAGGAGAAATAATTGTAAACAATTTCTTGTACTTCTCTTTGATCCTATAGGAAACTTCCAAATTGCTTCAGTATTTCACTGCAAATTGACTAGTCCTGGCTTTTGGAGATGTAACTTGGCAGGGGAAGGTATGGTTCCTACTTTATAAGCAAATTGCACAGAGTACCTGTGCATGTGGTTACTTTATGAATAGAGCCCGAAATGTAGAGGGTTGGGGGGAAATGGAACTCAAAACTGTAATTCTAAATTAAATACTAGCACAGGAGCTATAGGCAGTGATGATGAGGATGAAATGAGAGAACGTCACATAATGTTAAAAATCAGATAACCACCTTCTACGGTTAGTATAGCAGTTGTTGTTACTTCTCCATAGTCGTTATGAACAGTACAGCTGTACAATCCTTGATCTAAAAGTTGGACATTGCTTATAGTGAGGAAGAGAACGCTTCCATTTCGTGACAGCCTTATTCGTTCAGATTCCTGTAACGTTTCTCCCTCGTGAGACCACAAAACGTCTGAGAAGTTTTCACTTTCCAAAGCGCACATAAACTGAGCGGTGTCACCGCATCTCACAGTGAGATCATGAAGTTTCAGAAGAATCTTTGGGGGCGCCTCTCTCAGCACTTGAATGGAGGTTGCAGATACCGTGGTGCTTTCTGACTTCTGAGTAATGGCAGTGGCACTGAAGCTTTCTCCTTCCTTCCCAATCTCAGCTTTCACAGTAGAAGTTCCAGAAAGGTGTTCAAAGGCCTGCACAACCATTTCCCGTGATGCCTCCTGCTTGGACTTAATTTCTTTTACATACACTTGAGTTTCCTTCTTTGCAAAGGGGGAAGCAATATGCACTTCTGATTTTGCCTGGATAGACTCTTTTACATCTTTCCCAGAACTTAGCCTATCTAAGGCTTGCACTGTGTAATCAAGTAACAAAACATATGATTAATATCTAATGCACTGCAGTGGGCCACGTTAAAAGCAAAACGCTATGCCATAGATGGTAAGAATGAAATGTCTTCGTTTGAAAGCCTTGCATGCCAGCTGCATTCATTAAAGGTGCCCTCAGGAGGCAGCAAATATTTTACAGAAAATAACAGCCACAATGATGGATGGGAAAAAATGAAATATGCTCATGCTGGTAACATGTGGTAATTATTTGACTCTTCTTTCCACTGCAGTTGTCCATGGCAATTTGAAGGTATTTTTTTTGATACCCTGACAATATCCCTTCTTTCCCTTTAAAAACCGAGTAGAGCAAACGTCAGAGAATGCTACCAACTGCCAACAACTCACTGCCTTGAAGTGTGTGCGTGTGTTTAGTCTACCAAAAAACAGGTGTATTATCTGAGCAATAGACCAGGATGCAAGTTCTAAATGACACGACACTTTGAAAGTACAGGAAACAAGAGTGGTTTATTTGGTTACCGCTAGGACTATTGACATTAGTGACGGCACTGCTAGTTCTAAAAATAAAATTAAAAAGTGTGAAACGAGGAAGAAGAGAAGGTCATTAGTCACAGTGTAGAAAAAAAGTGTGGTTTATGCAACAAACAGAATTCCCTAGGAACAAAAGCGGGGCTTTACCTTCAGCAGTCACTGTAAGTGTAGCCATGCAAGTTGCATCTCCAGCACTATTTCTGGCTTTGCAAGAGTACTGCCCGGCATTTTCTGAGAAAGCATCTACTATTATCAATGTGGCTGTGCCTGTCGACTCATCAAAATGGAAAACTACGCCTTTGGTTGGCAACATTAGCTGTTGATTATGAAACCAGAGGATTTCTGGTTTCGGCATGGCGGAAACCCTGGCTTGGAATCTGACTGTTCCCCCGCTGCATACGCTGCAGCTTGAGATGGGCTGGATAAAGTTGGGCCTTTGGGCAACGGGGTCCTTCTTAATGGAGAAAGATGAAGAAACATGCCTTTGGGAATGTGAGGTAACTTCTTCAACCTTAAAGCCTGAAAAGAAGCATGTCAACTTTTAATTTCTTACCCTGTACACCAGTCAATTTTCTCTAGCTGCTCTGCATGCCCTCTCCCTTCATTTAAAAACACATTCTTACAGCATGACATTCTTCCTTTCCCTAAGTGACAATGTTTAGGCTCTGGGTACAAGCAGAGTGGAAAGCAAAACATTTGAAAACCAGCTGAGTTTAAATGTATAAATGTTCTCCGTGTCACATATCTGAATATTTGTTTCCTCTGACAAATATTCACGTTTGAATTGGTATGATGCAAGTCAATGAAATCCCAATGATTTTAATGCCTGCTACAGGCATTTCAAATCATTCTAGATATATTACCCTGAAAAACAGCAACAAAATCAATATTGTATTGCAGGTCTTGGGCTTCCCCCTTGTGTTTCGGCAGGTATTGGAATGGTAATGAGGTTAGACATTTCTTTTCAACGGGGCATTCATTTCTAATTTCAGTGTAAGGTGCTTTTCTTTTTTATACATAAATGCAATTTTGCCAACATTAGCGATGCCTAATTATTTAATGTCGTTTAATTAATGTGGAAATGGGACGGAGTCATGTGTGAAAGTGACATGGACAGAAAATAAACAGATTTGCTCACCATCCACACGCCACATCACGATTTGCTTTTTGAGCACCCTCATCCCTCGCAAAACTAGAACTAGATATTATGGCGCATGCAAGGTGGCTGCAGCCATCCCAGCTCTACATCTTCTCTTTGCTCCCTTTTTGCATGTATTAATGTAGAAACCATGTGATCTGGCCTCATTTTGTGATGAGCTTCCCACTTGTAAATGGGGGAAAATAACAATCAGCACATCACACATTTTTGTATTGCAAGATACCAAAAAGGAGGAGGAGACTCTGGGGCGCTGCTTTTTAGCATTGGCAGCCAATAGGCATCCTTCTGACCTCAGTCTCATAATTGGTTTGCCACACAACATGGGACTGGGAGTGCTCCTGTTTGACAAACCTAAACCTAAACCCCCATTGTCTGTATTGAGTTATATCGCACAGTTCTTTAGATACATGCCTTCACTGCCTTTCAACAGAAATGTGATTTGGCATGACAAATAAATTCTGGGAATCTGTTTATGTCAGAGGGGGTTTATTTATTCGTTTATCTTTGGTGCGTGCTGGATACTCATTGGAAACAGAATGGAAAGATGAAAACTATGGAACACTTGGAACATCGTGAAATGACATTCTGAAGAATATATACTGCGGAGACCAGATGGGCACTATTGACATCAGACAATGGGGTTGGTTATTTGAGTTAAAAGACACTGACATGACAGACAATTACATGTAGTTTTAAAGATATATATAAATATATATTAATGTTAAAACACATGCAAATTTACACAGTGTCTATGTATACAGTACACTGTACCTTCCAGCTTCAGTGCAGCCGTACTTGACACCTGGCCAACAGAATTGCCTGCGACAAAGGTGTAAATTCCTTCATCCTCTGGGTATGCTTCTGCAATCTCAAGCTGGAAAGTGTCTTCAAACTGAGTCATCCTAAAGAAGCGGGATGGCTTGATTTCTTTGTCTTTGCTATACCAAGCTACTTTGAGGTCTGCTCAAGTGAAAAGAAACAAAATAAAAAAGAGAGACATATACATGTAAGGTTTCTAGTTTCACTCTTGGGGAGCAAACTGATGAACAAGTTGGGAGATCAGAACTAAAGGGATACTTGATATGGCAACACTGCGCTGAGTTCTTCCCCCTCCACTGTAATGTTTAGGCTGCAATACACAGTTTTCTGGAAACAAGTCCTATTGAATTCAACAGGACTTATTTCTGAAAAGTGAAGCCTAAGAATGCACTGTTAGACCAATCCATGTCGTTTCCTACTGCCACCTGTGCCACCCACCCTGCCACCTCCAACCGCTGGTGGAGAAGTGGTACCAGGATTAATGCCAATTTTGAGCAATATTCTCACTGATTTTGGGAAATCCACTTCTCCCCACCTGGTGTTCCCTTACCCCTTCAAGCAACAGCCAATGATATGGAGCCAGGGAAATGGCATAGGAAGTCTGATTAAAGTATTTCAGGGGAAGGCAGGGGAAGACACAGGTCACCATTGGTGGCAGTCCCGTGTTGAGCATCACGTGTAGTTCTATCCTCCGTGTACACCTAGCGAACCTCAAAATTTTCTTCTCCTTCCATTTCATCCAGAATTTCAGTGAGCATGAAAAATGAACAATTCTATTCTGGAAACTGGCAGCTTTGGATATTTGGGGGCAGTGGAGGAGCACATGAGCAGGTTTGATCTGGGCCATGACAAAGAACTAATCTAAGGATAATTTCATGCTGTACTGAGTAATATGCAGAAACATTCATGAACAATACAAAGAGAGCGGGCGTTCCCAAGAACAATTCCCCATGCTCTGGTTCCACAAATATAGACATATAGAAATGCTGTAGCTTTCAACATGCACATCAAAATGATATATATACCCATATGAGTATATATATATGTATATATACATAAATCATTCTGACATGCTTTTGCACAGCTCAAAATTTGCCAATATTTTCAGTGTAAACTCCTACATGCTTTTTATGATGACATGTTTTTAAAAGTCCTATGAGAATTTTCTTTTTGTAGTTAGGGACATGATCCATATGCACCATGAGCGTAGTGCCAACCAATGCCTGGAAGTTCCTCTCTTTACCCGTATATCCTACCTACATATCAACATGGGCACATGGAGAGGCAGCATAAGTTGTTATGTCTGGGGGAAATGAGTGGTCTGTGCACGCCTTCTTCATCCCCAGATTACTTTCCCTCTTTCTGCCCTCTGCACAGTACAACTTGTTTCTGCTTGGCGTATGTGTAACTCTCAAAGCAAGAATGGGGAAACGGTGACCCTCCAGATGTTGTTGGGTTCCATTTCTCATCCTCCCTGACCACTGGCCATGTTGGCTGGGGCTGATGGGAGTTGGATTCCAAAAGGCCACAGGTACCCCATCCCTGTCATTTTGTGCTCTCTGTGCAGGCTGGAGCAGGGCAGGTGGGGGAAGAGAACTTTTTGAGCCCTTTTCGGGATCCTCAGTTCATCACCGCTACACCCATCGTGCAAATGGATCGTACGTTCACGAATTGTTTTCCTAGGGATAATATCTCATTTCGAGTACATGTCTGTATTTATCTAATTTAAAAGCGAATTGTCCATGTGGATTTTTATGTGCAGCTTATTAAAATCTATACTTATGCTTAAAAAATCTATCTAATCCAAATTTTAAAATATGCAAGAAGGAAGTATTGTGTGAGTTTCAGTAAGTTGACTGGGAGAATTAAAAGAACTATAATGAGTGTTTTTATATGCAAGTTGAACTATTGTGGCAATACTGATGGCTTTAAAATTATGACGTGGCACTTCTCTTAAAATTATATAAAGCTCAGTGTTTTGGGGGGTAGGGGGGCATTTACCCAGATATCTAGACTGCTCAATTTTTTTTCCTCTCTCTCTCTCTCCATATATCTGTAACCATATGCAAACAGTCAAACTGATCAGAACTGCTGGTGACCCAGGACTGTGGATCAAGAGGTCTATGTACTCTCAGATGAAGTGGCCCCTCCATTCTTTTCAACAAAGAGTACATAGCTCTTTGTTCCTATAGAAGCTCTTTTATAAGGAGCTCTGTGTACATATTAGGGATCCCACACCAGCAAGATATTGGAGCATAGGTGATTTTAATTTGTCCAAGTCTTTTGCATATATGATGAGATCATTCTGCAGTTAGATATCTGGTTTACTGGGGGTACTGGTTATCAATGGTTCGGTTTCAGAGCTGGTTTAGCTGATCCTTGGATTCCATGAAATATGGTGGACAGGGCAGGAGTAACATAAATACTTTTAGCCATAAAATGCCTGAAGCATGGGCTGATTCTCACTTTACTTTTGGTACTCAGGTATGTGTAACTAAGTGCAAAATTCACATCTGACACTGAAGTATTATGAAGTTGAGAGGTCAGAATGGATTGCAAGTAGTATTTTGGATAGGTTCTAATCTCTCTTCCACATTCTTTTTCAAGCAACTTTCCTAGTCATGTAACACCTTTCTCGTTATATATATATTCCCAGAAAAATGAGAGACATATGAAGTGTATGTTTCTCCTTTAAAAAGTAATAATTGCATGTGTCTGCTAGGAAAAGCACATGATCCTTTACTGAGAATTCCTTTTGGGGTTTTTTAAGACAATTAAAGGACACATTCCTAATTATCTTCTTCCTAATTCAACCTACATACTTAAACACACATGAATTTCTACTCGAGTACATGTACCCAAGTGCAAAAAATAAAGTGAGAATTGATGCTCAGTGAAGATCCATTCTTTCCACGGCAAAGTTGTGTCAGAAGCTGACATCCAAGGCTTTGTTCATTTTTCAGGCTCATTTGAAACCTAGGAGAGGGTGGCAAAATGCCACTTTGAATTAAAAGTGGAAGGATGATTACAACTGTGCCTACCTTTTTAATATTTAGCACTGCAAAATGGAGTCCCTGGTTATGGGACCTCTTGGTCAGTATAAGACAAGTTAGGTTATTGTATACACAAAACTGAATCTACATGGCTATGGGGAAGCCTGGCTTCAGTAACTGGTTTGTTTGCTTGTTGCTGTTTTTTAACCTACTAAGTGCACCAGGTCGAACAAGGAGTACAAAAGTGTTTTATGACTTTGTTAAACTAACCTGTCCCTGTAACTCTGCACTGAAAGCAAGCAGACTGTCCCTCAGAAGTAATAGCATCGCGGAGTGGTGCGATAATAGTAGGTGGGTAAATTGGCACTTCTACATCAGGAGAAACAACTTCTGGGACTAAGGAAAAAGATCAAAGAGTGATTATTAGCCTCCATGGAAGAGCACACAGTGCAAAATATTGACAATGCCAGTTTCAAAAATGCTCAAGATTGCTGGGAGAGCTTGCCTTCCACAGAAAGGGACGCAGAAGAAGTGGCGACTCCATAGTCGTTCTTCGCTTCAATTGTGTAAACGGCAGCATCTTCTGGGAAAGTCTCAATCAGCAACAGGGTGTATTCTTGGGCATCATGAAGAAATTTGACCTTAAAGCCTGAAGAAAGAGGCTGTTCATCTTTGTACCACGAGATCTTGGGCTGCGGCTTTCCTGACACAACCGCACAGAAGCGGGCTGGCTTTCCAGATTCCACGGTGGCTGGCTGAAGCTCCTTCTCAATCTGGGGTGGCTCGGGAGCTATAATTTAAAAAAATATATACATAATCATGCAACTAATTTCCAGCAAGATAGATTCCATTCCTTCCTTCCTGTGATTGCATGCAGGTTTTTCAGCATTTATGTGACACGTAGTGCAAGATAACTAGATCTGGAGGAGAGAGGACCAGTTGCTAGCTGTGGAGATGTTGGGCAACAGGCAAAGGGTTGATTTGCACATGCACAAATTAGTCACATGGGTGGCGCTGTGGGTTAAGCCACAGAGCCTAGGACTTGCCAATCAGAAGGTCGGTGGTTTGAATCCCCGCGACGGGGTGAGCTCCTGTTGCTCGGTCCCTGCTCCTGCCAACCTAGCAGTTCAAAAGCACGTCAAAGTGCAAGTAGATCAATAGGTACCGCTCCGGTGGGAAGGTAAACAGCGTTTCCGTGTGCTGCTCTGGTTTGCCAGAAGCGGCTTAGTCATGTTGGCCACATGACCCGGAAGCTGTATGCCGGCTCCCTCGGCCAATAAAGCAAGATGAGCACTGCAACCCCAGAGTCGGCCACGATTGGACCTAATGGTCAGGGGTCCCTTTACCTTTACTGTGATGGGAGATAGCATGTTTGAAACCTCTGTCATATTAAAACAACAACAGCAACTTCTTGGCTCTAGAAAACTAGCACATCAGGACGACGACTAGGCTAGGAAGCTTTCTCTGACACAATGGTTTTCAGTGGTTGGAACATTCAAACCCATGATGTCCCACAACAACAATGAAATAATATGATCCTTGAAAGACTTCATCACATTTTTCTCCCCTGAGTGTTGCTATTCAGGCCTAACTTGCAGTTTAGCCTTAATCACGGGGTTGTTCCAATGATAAACGAGGGGGTGGGGATATAAAGTAATGGTGAATAGTAGAAAATAATCATTTTTATATCTCAGATTAGGGCTGAAGTGTAGACACCTCTAAGAAAAATAAACTTGTCTGATCAAGATCACCAAGCACATGCAGAAGGATACAGCTTAACAAATAGCTAATCACAAGCAGTGCAAGCCTATGGATGTCTGCTCAGAGTCCAATTGGATTTACTGCCCTAAAATTGTGTATAGCAGGGGTGGGAAATCTGTGGCCCTCCAGATGTGGCTAGACTACAATGGCTATCATCCCTAATTGGCCGTGCTGTTTCGGCTGATGAGACTCCAACAGCATATGGAGGGCCAGAGGTTCCCTGCATTTGGAAACACAGGACTGAACCTTAACTACTTGCGTACTGTTGCTGAAAAGTGCAGCTTGAAATAGTTCAAAAGAAAATAAGAAGTGCAAAAAAAGAGAAAGCGATATAATGCAGAACACAAATCTTGGCTGGCCTTGAAAGTCAGTCCATTTCTTTTGCTTGTCATTGACTGCAATGTCATGCTGAACTTCAGCATTGGCAAGTGTGCTTGTGGAGACTGCTAATGTAGCTTCTTATATGAATTAGTATTCCAATAAAAAGCAAGATAAATCTTTATATACATACCGTTCACATGGAGAGTGATGGAACTCCTGTTTCTTCCAGCTAAGATGGTGTATTCTCCAGCATCTGTATATCTAGTTTCAGTGATTGTCATCCGGTGGACTTTTCTTTCCACCACATAGTGATATCTCTCCTCAATGTGGAAGTTGATCTCAATTCCATCCTTATACCAGCGAGCGTCAACGTCGTCTTCATTGACCTCAAACTCTACCACGGCTCGCTGTTTCTCAATGACCTGTCAATAAGCAGAAACTTATTATTTCCCCCATTTCTGTTAGTCTATTCTTTTCATCAAACAATACAAAATAAATCTGTTATGCAAACAAAAATGCACAAACAAAACAAACACCAGTGATTTTTTTTTAGAAAAGGACTGTATAGATGTAGTTACATATTTCGCCTATCATTTCCCATTTGTATGTACAAAAATAGGGACCCACAACAATGGGTTGTGTTACACCCCCCAACCCTAATAAGTGTACCCTTGTTTAGGACTGTAGTAGCAGTCTTGCAGGGACGCGGGTGGTGCTGTGGGTTAAACCACAGAGCCTAGGACTTGCCGATCAGAAGGTCGGTGGTTCGAATTCCCACTCCCTTTGCTCAGTCCCTGCTCCTGCCAACCTAGCAGTTCGAAAGCACATCAAAGTGCAAGTAGATAAATAGGTACCGCTCCTGCGGGAAGGCAAACGGCGTTTCCGTGCGCTGCTCTGGTTCACCAGAAGCGGCTTAGTCATGCTGGCCACATGACCCGGAAGCTGTCTGCGGACAAACGCCAGCTCCCTTGGCCTATAGAGCGAGATGAGCGCGCAACCCCAGAGTCGGTCACGACTGGACCTAATGGTCAGGGGTCCTTTTTTAGCAGTCTTGCAGCCTTCTTCAGGGGGATTTTTTGACCTTGTGGGGTGCTGCCCTGTCATGCTATTCCCAAGCTACTGTCCTTGGGAGCTCAAGTAGGTCAATTCCACACACACCCCTTTTCATTTGTTCATTTGTTTGTTTGTTTGTTTGTTCCTTCCTTCCTTTTTACCAATTTTTCAATTGGCACTCAACATTCCTGAGCCCCTTGAAATCACCAAGCAGAAGCCCTTGAACCTTAACAGACTATTTTTGCAGCTGATCTTTTTTCTCATAGTTTACAAGATGAATAACTTTTCAAAATAAGTGGGGAAGCACATCACAATGTATAAGCAGCTCCAGATGTGGGTGGAAAGTTAATGCCAACAAAATGACCAGCTGTCCCTCTACTACAGTCTTCACTTCTCTAGACACCAATGAAGGAATAATATCAGATCAACGCAGTGTGCACTTGGGAAAATAAGAGGGTTCTCATAATTTTGCTGGGAGTTGAAGAATTCTTAAAGGAAACTATAAGGTTTTCTTGTATGCGTTGACATTAACTGATTTAAATTAAGTGAGGAGGGGAAATGTAGTTTTATATTTTGTATTTTGGGGGGTGTTAAAATATATCTAAGGGGACATGAATATGTGAGAGAGGGCCCTGTGCACAGAGTTTTGTTCCAACTGAGAAAGATCATTGTTCAATTTAAGAAGTGCTCAGTCCATGAGAGCAATGCTCCTCCACATGGCTGTGTACCTTCTTTGGCATCCAATTTTGCTTACATTTTCACAATGGGGAATTCAGTATTTTTTCTGACTGAGATCTTTGAACAAAATGCTTCTACATGTTAGTATGGTTTTATATATACATATATAATTAACACCTGAACATTATTGTTTGGTGGAACCAAAGTTTCTCCACAGATTTTTGGCACCGAGTTTGGAAAATCTATTTGAGAAACTGACATTTCAGTGATCAGGGGCAGGTCGGCTGCATTGGTCATCAAAACAGTAGGAAGTACTATACCTGGACGGTTTTTTGAAGGCTCCTGATGCGAACATCACGCCCTTCCACTACCAAATTAGCGCTGGACATATTTCCTCCTGCCACTACCGTGTACTTCCCGGAATCAGACATCTTTGTGGTAGTAATCAGGAGGCGATGAACGAACCGTTCTCTCTGAACTTTCATTCTAAAAATAATGCAAGCAAATGAAACTTAGAAAGTGTGGTCTCTTAACATATCAATAACTATATGTATATGGTATCTTTGTTTGATTCAGAAGGTCATGCTATTCCCTCAAAGCCTTCCCTCTAGCTCAGTAAGTTCTGTTGTGTCTGAAAGTTGTCATATGGCAGAGTTGATGACTAGTACAATGACTAGCCAGTGTTGCCAAGTAACATTTCAATTCACCATCCATGTCCTGTATGCTTGTCACAAGCAGCAGCAGCAGCAGGTCTCAGGTCAAACTTCAACTTTTCTTTATATTCATTTTTTTAAACAACAACACAAATTACCTGTCTTCAAGCTGTAGCTCCTGTCCATCTTTCATCCACTGAACAGAAATGTCAGGTTCTGAGATCTCACATTCAAAAACAGCTTTTTTCTTCTCCACAACTTTTATGTCTTTGATGTGCTTTCTAAACTCAATGTGGCGAGCTAGAAAAAAACAAACCATGAGAGATATTGTCATTATGAGCCACTTTATAGTCCCAGACGATTAATAATTGCTTAATTTATACTCCTCCTTTTCACATCAGAGCGCAACAATAATTAGCTGACAATTCCCTGTTTGTTATATGTACATTTACAAAAAGCACGGCAAAACATTTTGTATTGAAATTAAAATAACAAGAAACAAAATAAGAAGCAGGTAGAGTAATTTCAACAAAATAAAACAATTAAGACATAGCAGTAAGATTAAAGAAAATGGGTTTCTTTAAGCATTTCTTAAGTCACTTAACCAGTTCAGCCTGTCGTATCTTTTGGCTGACATTACCAATTTCAGCCACATTTGGACAGTCATAGCTTGGTGAGCATAGGCAAAAAGTTCATTTATTAATACGCTGAGATATGAACGAGTCTTTAGCATGTGCATATAGCTCCTTCACTCCTCCTATTTCTGGTGCGAGAAAATATGCCATTAAGTCTTCAATTAACCACAGTTTTCTGGTTTGTCCAAACTGGGAAGCTATGACTACCACCTTTGGAACCAACCAGGGTATTAAACTATGGCGTGAAGCTTCTTTAATATCATTTCAAAAAAAGAAACTCTGCTTAATTAGAGGCTTCCTGGTATAACTGCAGCTCATGCAAAGGAAGGAGTGAAGGGGCTACATGCATTCCAAAAAGGCTAGGTCACATGTCGGTTCAGGATTATCCAAACCAGTTCAGTAGTGGATCTGTTACTGTAATGGCTCATCCACACTGCTCTGGATTGATGTTTGCTTCAATTTAGTGCTAAAGAGCTAAAACAGATGGAAGAAAACTTAATACCTTCCACATATAAAGTTGCAGATGAAGCAGCTTTCCCAGCAACAAAACTGTATTCCGCAGCATCTCCAAAGTGCACATTTCTTATCGAAAGTGAATGTGTAAGTTTCTTAGTTCTAATCTGGCACCGGTCCGTGGATTTTATTTCCACGCCGTTCTTCAACCATTTGTACGTAATGCCTTCATAATTAACAGTCACTTCGAAGGTTATTGTATCTTTCTCTTCTGCGTTAATGTCCTTCAGCATGGATGTTATCAAGATAGCTGGTTTTAAAGGAAATAAAAGGGGAAATATTTCATCATTGTCATCATCACCATCATCAAACTTATCAGCTGCTTTTCTTACAAAAAGTAAACTCAAAGTCACTTCCCACAACAAAAATAATAAAATAAAATAAAATATAACATATATATTAAAACCAGCAAAATCTAAAAAACCCAGCCTCGGATTGATTTCATATGCATGTTTTTGAAGCACGAATCAATGAACTTTGCAAAGAAGAGAAAACATATTGCAATTTTCTAGAACAAAAAAGTTTGGAAATTGAGGGGCTAAGTCAGGGGTTGTGGATAGGATCCAGCTGGTGGTCTGGATTCTGAGGCCCCCCTCCCCCGCCTCCTGTTGGCCACTTAGACATGTGGAAAGGGGCTTCCTGCCTGTCAATCATCTGACATCACCATGATGTAATTAAGTCAATGGATACATTGACACTACATAGATTCAGTGAATCCCGTGAAAGTAGGCCGGCTAAACTTTTAACCCCCTAAATTTACAAAGACTGAGAATAAGAGGGTGTGCAATGTTAACTATACTTCAGGCAAGCATTCTGCGCTCATGTCCATTTTAAACTTACGCTTCACTGTCAGGGTTGCGCTGACTTTGTCATTTCCGCAGACAAAGGTGTATTCGGCAGAATCCTCACTGCTGGTGTTCATGATGTTGAGCTGATGGAGCTTTCCCTGAACCACTATTTTGAACTTCTCGCTCATTTCAATTTCCACTCCATTTTTCAGCCACACAGCGGGCACATTGAAATGAGACACCTCGCACTCAAAAGAGGCAGTTTTGGTCTCGGCAACCTCAATATTTTTCATGGTCTTTGTTATGTGCACAGCTGTAGAAAATAATATTGATCAAACACACAATTAGATCGTCTTTTATAACGTATCGCGAGGTACTTTCAGTCTGATGTTTGATAATGGAGCTTGAGTCTAATGATAGATTTGTTTTAACTTACTTTCTACAAAGAGTTTTGCTTTGCACTCAAGTTGTCCTACTACTGCTGTGTATTCTCCAGCATCAGCGGGAGATATATTTTGCAACGTCAGCTTGTGGACTTTCCTCTGGGAGCTCAGTCGGTATTTGTCGCTGGGCTTCAACTCGATGTTCTTGTGGAACCATTTGACTGGGACGGTGTCATGGGACACACTCACTTCAAATGAAACAACAGCATTCTCCAGAGCAGTCACATCCTTGGGCTTCTTGATTATCTTGACAGCTTTAGGGAAGAAGTAACCAACAATTTAGTTACTCGCTTGGCTTCAGTTAAAACCACTGTAAGACAATTGGCTTCAGGACTGGAAACTGCAAGAAGTTTTTGTTTCCCCGAGTTGAATGTAGCATGGAATAAAAGAGGCAGCACTGCCCATAATGAAAGACAGTGTGGTATAATAGTTGAGAGGGTTGGACTAGGAACTGAGAGAGCAGGGTTTGAATCCTCACTCAGCCACAAAGCTCACTGGGTGACCTTGGGCCAGTCACCATCTCTTAGCCTAACCAATCCCACAGGGTTGTTGTGAGGTTGAAACGTGGAGAAGTTAGTTTACACCAACTAGCTTGAGATCCTTGGAAGATAAAGGTGGTATATAATTGTAATAAATAAATGTTTTGGGCTCCCAGTATGTTTCCAAGCACAATTCAAAGTGTTGGTGCTGACCTTTAAAGCCCTAAACGGCCTCTCCACCCCCATTGTTCAGCCCAGACACTGAGGTCCATCTCCAAGGGCCTTCTGGTGTCTCCCTCCCTGCAAGAAGTGAGATTACAGGGAACCAGGCAGAGGGCCTTCTCGGTAGTGGCACCCACCCTGTGGAACGCCCTCCAGGGCTGTCTTACCCATAGGCACTAGGGGTGTGGTGCACCTGGGGACCGGGCTCTCAGGGGCGCCAGGCTGAGAGTCCAGGGCCTGAGAGTTGAGTCCAGGAAAGAGCTCGCCCATCGGTCAGAGCACCGCAGCGAACTCTTGGGTGCTGCAAGTTTGGGGGTGACCAAGCCAGCAAGACGCTGAGGCAGATGGCCAGCTCCACCCTCCTGCACACCTGGGACTGGGCAACCCGGGGGGGTGGATCTTTGCACCCCAGTGTCACATATGCTTAAAACAGCCCAGATGCCCTCCCATCAGATGTCAAGGAAATAAACAACTACCTGACTTTTATAAAACATCTGAAGGCAGTCCTGTTTAGGGAAGTTTTAGTGTTTGATGTTTTATTGTGTTTTTAAAATTCTGTTGGGAGTCACCCAGCATGGCTGGGGAGGCCCAGCCAGATTATTATTATTTTAAAAATGCATGCACCCTTCCTGCCATCATCTCTGTTCCCCTCCCCCATTTAAAAAAAAATGTTTGTAGTGCTTAAAAATACATCCCAAAATATTTTACTATAAATGATAATAGGACAGAGCAAATGAATGTTGACAGTGTGGGGAATGATGTGTCTTTATCATACCATCATTCAACTTGCTTTAATTCTTCCCAGCCTATTTATCGTGTAGAGGCTGACTTACTTTCAACATGGAGTCGTGCATTGGCTCCTATCCTTCCCAGTTTAAAGCTGTAGACGGACTCATCAGTTACAGCGCATTTCTTGACTTTCAGCGTGTGGGTTGTCCCTTCCACCTTGATCTCATATTTGTCACCAGAATGCAGCTCAACACCATTCTTGATCCACTGAGCTCCTTTCACATCAGGATGAGTAAGTTCCACTGAAAAAACTGCATCTTGTGTTTCTGTTACAGTCAGGTTCTTCAACGTCTTCTTGATTTTGACAGCTATTTGAAAAGAGCAAATCAAATTGTTGACGTTATACAGGTAGATATTATTATTATGTATTAAATTTCTATACCGCACTTCATCCAAGGATCACAAGGGGTTTACAATATATATAAAAAAACAAAAACACACACCATAGTAACAAAACCCCAGTTTAAAAGGTCATAGATTGTTTAATTACCCATAGGCCTGGGAGAAGAGGAATGTTTTTGCCTGGTGCCTACAAATATGTAACAAAGGCAACAGGGGAGAGCATTCCACAAGTGGGGAGCCATCCCCAAAAAGGCCTGTTCTCGTGTTGCCATCCTCTGGACCTATCACGGAGGAGGCACATGAAGAAGGGCCTCAGATGATGACCAGAGGGTCCGGCTCGGTTCATATGGAGAGAGGCAGTCTTTGAGGTATTGCAGTCCTGATCCATTTAAGGCTTTATAGATGAAAACCAGGACTTTGATTTGGGTCCAGAAACTAACTGGCAGCCAGTGCAGGCAGTTCAGGATCGGTGTAATATGCTCCAACCTGGCTGCTGAATTCTGCACCAGATGAAGTTTCTGAACCATCTTCAGAGGCAGCCCCACAAATAACACGTTGCAGTAATCTAACCTAGAGGTTACCAGAGCATAGACAGCAGACATTAGGCTATCCCTGTCCAGATAAGGGCACAGCTGGGCCACCAGCTGAAGCTGATGGAAGGCACTCTCCCCAGTCAGGATAGTCCTATCCTGAGAACCCCCTCTAAAAAGGGTGTTAAGTTGGGTGCTGGTGAGAGGAGGGTCCTGCACCCCCCCCATCTGCTGAACCTCTCAGGATGGAAGCTATATTGTGCTGCAGTGTTGGCTCATCTCATAACTGGAGTTCCCAGTTTACACAACTCTTAGGTATTGTGTAATAAAAATGTAAGAGTATAGCTATCAATTGCATAGCTGAAATATACTGTTAAGTTCAGAAAAGCAGATTCCATAAAGTTCTTACAGTCCATCCCCCCCCAATATATTTTACAAAATTATTAACAGGAATATCCATTTTAGGAGATTTTTTTCCAATTTGTCCAGTGTGGAATTGAGACAAACTTTCCCCACTGATTACTCACTTTCAACTTTCAGCTTAGCGGATGTTTTCGAAGAGGCCACTTGATAGGTATATTCGCCAACATCATCTACTTTGCTGATTGGGATATTAAGTCTCCTCTTCAAACCATCAGATTCACTTTTGTAGCGATCAGTCATTGAAAGGGGTTTCCCATCTTTCAGCCACTGGCCCTCAGAGTCTGGATTGGTTACTTCACATTCAAAAACAGCTTTCTGGGATTCGGCCACAGTTAGATCAGTGAGGGGCTTTGAAATGGCGCCACCTGTGGGGAAATAAAGGACAAGCTTATATTTTTTGTCCCTCTGATTAGATGCCTACTGACTACACTAATAGTCTATGTTGGTGGTGTTCCTGGTGCAGTAGCTGCTGCTATCTATGCAAACAGGAAACTGCTGCTACCATCACCAGGGTGAGGGTCACGTAGATAACCTTGGGAGGGTGATGTGCTCCACAGCACTCTGAAGCATTGCACATTTGTATGTTCCTGTAAGTGACATTCCTACAGGCCACATTAATTGGTGGTCCCAGAGAAAAACTGAAAAACAAAGGACCTTCTCAGTAGTTGCACCCACCTGGTGGAATGTCCACCCATCAGATGTCAAAGAGTTAAAAAATTAAATTGGTAGACATCTGAAGACAGCCCTGTTTTGGGAAGCTTTTAAGGCTGCGTGTTTTGTTTTATCCCTTTATATTTTGACTGGGGCAAGCCAGTCACATGGGCGGAGGTATACTTAATTAATTAAACCGTCATCATCACCATCATTGCTGTATTGATCTCTATTGGATCCATAGACCATGTTGACCTGATGATGCTCTCCTTCCCCATGTTTCCATGGAGACAAAATGGATTATAATGCAACTACTCCCAGACTAGGAGTTGGAAAGGAATTTCTCTTCTTAGGAATGTCCACTTTCTTCCAACTATCATTCACCATGGTTTGTTTGTTTGTTTGTTTGTTTGGCAGGTCTCATGGACTTAAGTATGAACTGAACTAACAAATATAAACAGCAGGGCATTTGACCTTCAAGAAAAAGTCAAGTGCTTTATAAATAACTAACCTGCTACAACCAGTGTCCCAGATGTCTTCTTTTCTCCAGCATAAAATGTATACTCTCCTTCATCGTCTTTCATCATGTTTACTACTGTCAGTTTATAGATTGTGCCATGTGCCTCGATCTTATACTTGGGCCCAGCTTTGAGCTCTTGGTCCTTAAAATGCCACACAACATCAATCCCTGCGTGGGACAGCTCAACTTCAAAGGTTACATTCTGAGTTTCGGTGCAGGTGATATCGTGAAGACCTTTAATAATCTGAATTTCTGTTGTTTAAAAAACAAAAGGCGACAGTAGAATCAAGTTGTTACTTGTTGCACGATCAGAATATATATTTTAATAAAGCCTGCCTATCTGAAGAATACTTACCTTCAATTGTGAGATTGCAGCTGGTTTCAACCTTGCCTACTGCCAGTTTACAGTGTCCTTCATCTGATGCATGTGTCCTGGTAAACACTAGCCTCTGCTTTGTGCCTTTGGAGACAGCTTGGACACGGTCATCAGGTTTTATTTGCTCATCGTTTAGGTACCACTTGGATGAAGACACATCAGGGACTGAAATTTTGCTTTCAAGGATGGCTCTCGTACCCTCAATAGCATGGACATCTTTTAGTGGTATAATAATTTCCACACCTGCAAATTGCAGATAAGAGATTTATATTGAAAGATCAATACATGGATTCTGGTGCTTTTAGCTTAAGTATATAAGAATGTGAGAAATGTACAAAAATGGATGGAACCAAGATCCTCCTCCCAGTGTAATTATCTGAAGCATCAGGTGTCCAAATGTCTTAGGCAGCTTTACAGATGGCATGCCGAAGGTCCCAGGTTCAATCACAAACAATTCTTGGTAGTGCTGGGAGAGAACCCTCTCTAAAACCCTGGAGAGCCACTGCCAATCAGTGTAGACCAGGGTTTTCAAAAGCTGTTTGGGGACTACAAATCCCAGCATCCCTAGCTAGCAGGACCAGTGGTCAGGGATGATGGGAACTGTAGTCCCAAAACAGCTGGAGATCCAAGTTTGGGAAACCCTGGACTGAACTAGATGGACCATGGTCTGATTCAGTATAAGGCAGTGCCCCATGTTCCCATATAGCTATCCCCAGTTATTGTGGTGATGGCAGAGATATACAGCAGTATATCTATAGGTTCCTCTATACATATAGGTTCCATTCTGTACATGCAGGTTCCACATAGTTGTCATAACATGCAGCTCATTTGTCATCTTTTTGTTAAAGCTATGTAGGATGGCTGCCCTCCCCACACTTAGCGCAGCAAATTTCGCAAGACAATTATGACTTGCATTTTGTTATACGACTTCCGAAACACAGGCACTTACTATAGACTGTGACACGGCCAGTGGTTGAGAGGAGCAGGCTGGGGATGTTGAAGGAGTATGATCCGCTGTCTTCCTTTGTGACATCTTCCACCAGCAACATATGTGACTGCTTATCTACTACAATGTGGACACGGTCGCTTGGTTGAATCTCGACACCATCCTTCATCCAGACACCTTCAACGTTTTCTTGGGAGAGTTTCACTTCAAGTTGCACAATGTCGCCCTCGCAGACTTTCTGGTCAGTAAGACCTTGAAGGACAGCAACAGGCCGTGCTGTATGGAATGCGAAAGAGAAGCAAGAAGTTATTAAACAATGATCAGGAGCTTCAATAAAATAGGGATGGGGAACCTTTCTCCCCTCGCCAGGCTGCACCTGTCAGTAGCCCTGCTCTGGTTGCTCCTCAGTTGCCTTTGACTGGCAGGAATGTGTCCTTGAACTCTGAAAATGTCTCTTGATTGCTTGGACAGAGAGCAGTGCAAGGACACCCTGGTTGCGAGTCCTGGGGGACCAGCTCCCTGCTTTACAGACCTTTCCCCATGTGGCCAGGGTGGGCAGAGCCCGGACTGACTCCAGCTACAAAAGCTGAAGCTGCTGAAGATGCATGAGACCATCTTGGTTGTTTCTTAGTGCAGACCCAGGTCACTGAGCCCGAACTTCCACAGACAATGCCTGCCATGAACCATCATTGACAAGACTGGCAGCAACAGCAGCAGTTCCATGGTTATGATAATGTTTTATTTTCTTGCTAATTGTGCTGTTTTAAATGTGCATTTGATATTTGACTTCCTTTAGTAATGTTTTCTTTCAAAATGTTCTAAGTTGTTTTTTTGGTTAAATTTGCTGTGTTAAATATGCATTCTATAGTTGACCTTCTTTGTAATGTTTTATTTTGCAGTCTTCAAGATAATATTTTACTTTCCTGTTACTTATGCTGCTTTGAATGTATACGTTATAGCTGACTTTCTTCTGTCATGTTTTGTTCTGGATTGATTTATTTGATGTTTTAATGTAGGATGCAAACCTCTTTGAGGTTTTTTTCTTAAAAATATAAAGTAGTATAGAAATGAAATAATAATAACAATAGTAATAATAATGTGTGTCTGCACGTGCGCGCGCACACACACACACACACACCACACCATTGGAATACTGCATTGTTGAATGGGAATGTTACCAACTACACAAAGACAAGAGCTAGACTTGTGGTTCCACCCATCTGCACTTCTGGCCTCTGCTTCCAGCTCCACTCACCACTAGCATGATGGAAGGCTACTCATGATAGGATATGGTCTTTGGGCCTGGGGAAGAAAATGGGTTTCCCACTCCTGCTCTCAAGTATTTAGAAGGCAGAACAACTTACGCTTCATCTTCAGTTTACAGGAGGTCTTTTTCCCATCTGCCACAAAGCTGTATTCTCCTTGATCTTCTTTAGCAACATCTTTAACTGTGAGGATTTGGCGACCTCGGCGTGAGGTTATCAGATACTTATTACTGGGTTTGAGCTCCACCTCATTATGATACCATTTTCCTTCGACATCTTCAGGCGAAAGCTCGCATTCCAGTTCCCCCGAGAAGGTTTCTTGGACTTCAATGTCTTCCAGTTCTTTAATAAACTCAATAACAGCACCTGCAATCAGATGCAAACATCTCAGTAAGTGATTTTATTCCTTACGAACGTTCCATAATGTTTCTTAGCAACAGAATTAAAAAGAATGCCCAGTTCAAAATACTTCCATCTTTTCAAAATGTGGACTGATCCAGCAAGCTCTTCTTATGTTTGTACATTCTATGCTAATCTAGGGCTATGCCCATGTACCAATGATTTAAATACAAAGACGGAGAATCTGCAGCCCCTCCAACAGATGACTCCAAACTCCCATCAGCCCCAGCTAGCCTGAAAACAGGGTTGTTTGTTTTTAACCATAGGCCAATTGAATAGTGCAAGGCTGGCTATTTTAAAAGTAACTAGGGTTGGGCATCAGAATGGTTACATGATTGCCCAAGCACTCATTTTGATTTGGGTTCACTTTGTCGCTGCAAACCTTCCAAGACTTAAAGAATCAGGCACTTGGGCTCAGTGCTCATTAGTTGCGCAGAATGTGCAGCTGATCAGACCAGTTGTTCGATCTGGCCACTGGGGAAATCTATGGTCTGAGAAGCCTGCACTAAGAGCCACTCATTACACAGCACCACCCATATTTCTAGAGTAATAAAGAGTGACTGAGATAGAAATTACGTTGTACTAGAGTAACCTTTTGCAAGGGACACGGGTGGCACTGTGGGTTAAACCACAGAGCCTAGGACTTGCCGATCAGAAGGTCGGCGGTTTGAATTCCCGCGACGGGGTGAGCTCCCATTGCTCGGTCCCTGCTCCAAACCTACCAGTTTGAAAGTGCATCAAAGTGCAAGTAGATAAATAGGTACCACTCAGGCGGAAGGGAAACGGCATTTCCGTGCGCTGCTCTGGTACGCCAGAAGCAGCTTAGTCATGCTGGCCACATGACCCGGAAGCTGTATGCCGGCTCCCTCAGCCAATAAAGCGAGATGAGCGCCACAACCCCAGAGTCGGTCACGACTGGACCTAATGGTCAGGGGTCCCTTTACTTTTAGAGTAACCTTTGCCCTCACCTTCAACAATTAGTTTGGCTGTTGTCTTTACAGACTCGTCTTCCACCAGGGCACAGCTGTAATCGTCTTCATCAGACTTATCAATCATTAGCACTGAAAGGAAGTGAGCCTTCCTGTCAGAGTGCGTTCTGTATTTGTCTCCATAAGAAATCTCCAGACCATTTTTGTACCACTGCACTTTAACGAAAGGCTCGGAGGTTTCACACTCAAAGGTCGCCATTGAATCTTTCTCCTTAGCAGTGACATCTTGTAAAGTCTGTGTGAACGTGATATGCTGCTTGGCTGCAAAGAAAATAAAAAGAGAGGCCAAAAGATGAGAATGAATATTATATGATTTGAGCGTAAAAAGAAGACAACATTTTGGAAAGGGGGCAAGAGGCCCCCTTTTGAAAAGGGATATTACCTTGTACTAACAAGAAAGCATGACTTGAGGTTTCACCAGCTATGTTAACGGCTTTCACCATGATGCTGGCAGAGTCCTCTGCTGTTACATCTCGGATGACCAGCTCACAAACATTATCTTCGGGCCAGAACCAATAGATGCGATCTGACCTCTCAATCTGCACACCGTTTTTGAACCACTGGCACTCTGGGTCTGGTTTGCCTACCACACGGACACGGAAATGAGCATCACTTCCTTGGCCAACTGTCTGGCTTTGGATGCGTTCAAATATTTTGGGAGCCTCCATGCTGGGACTGAGCTGAACCTTCTCTGGCTTGATGGTTGGAATAGTGACTTTGCCTTCTTCCAACAGGGCTTTCTTCTCTTCTTCGGTTAACTCTTTGGTCCAGTGAAGAAGTTCATCCTTTGTCTTTTTAAGCAGCTCTTCATAGGACTCGTCCTTCTTGCGAGATTTGAGCTCCACAGCGGTGATTGCTTCAAAATAGCCCTCCTCAGTTCTGCGCTTGAATTTACTGCGGAGTTCTTCAGATTCTTCAGACACTTTTTCATGGCTCACTTTTTCGGCCTTCTTCAGCGTCACCACCTCCTTGGTAGTTTTCTCAACGGGCTTGTCGACCTTTTGAACTTCAAACAAAAGTTTGCCAGGCTCCGTTGCTGGAGCTTCATGCTTAGGCTCAGGGGCTCGGCGAAGCACGGATCTGAAATCTTCCCTCTGCTGAATCTCAAGTTTCACCTTGTGCTCTGTTGCACCTTCGGGGTTTTCAGCAGCTACTTTTACTTCACCTGTATCGTAGGATTTGCAGTCCACAATATCCAAGTAATAGATCCCATCGTAACGGAGTCTAAACCTCTTGCTTTTGCGAATGAGTTGGCCATTGAGGTACCAGTTGACTTTGGGCTGCGGATAACCAGTCACCCGGCAGCGGAACCGCGCTATTTCACCCTCAATAACTCTTGCTGGTTCAGGAAACAAGACTATTTCTGGCTTCTGTTTGACTTTCTGATCTTCTGTAACTCCATGAAGAGCGCCCTCATGGGCCATTCTCTCAAGTTCTTCAATGCGTTGCAGCCCCATCCTGCCTTCTGGCAGTTGGGATTCTTCAACAAGGCTCTTCTCGTCCTTAACAATGAGTGTCGCCGATGTGTGATCAGTGCCATATTTGTTTGTAGCTCTGCAGGTGATCACTCCACTGTCTCTGGGATAGGATACGTCATAGTCAAGGCTGCAATATCCAAATTCATTAATCATTCTAAGCCTGTTGGCTGCCTCCAAGGGCTTGCCGTCGTGCAGCCACTCCACCACCATGGTTGGGTCACCAATCGGCGTGAGTCTGCACTCAAAATGGGCTGGCCCAAAGCGCTTCAGCCTTAAGGAAGTGAGCTTCTTCTTGAAAAACGGCTTCTGTTGTTTTTCTTTGTCGTAAAGGTCACCTTCCTCCCACTGCTCTTGACCATAACGCAAGTGGAGAGGTTCTAGTTCTGGTGCTGCAATCTCTTTTGCTTTGTAAGTCCCCTTGGGAATGATTAATCTCCTCTCTGGTTCGGGTTCAGTGAGCTCAACTTCAACATTCACTTTACACCGTGTAGTGTCACGTCCAGCTTTGTTGATGGCTGTCGCAGTATACCATGCAGCGTCATGTCTCACAGTGCGCTCGATTTTCAGGGCAGCTTCTCCTTTTGTTCCTTCAATTCTGAAACACAGTGTCAAAAGTAAACATTTGCTCTTCGTAGAGCTTTTCGGTCACTTCAATGCAATTGTTTTTTGTTTTAATGGTTAGCAAATTCACAGACGCTGCTGGAGAATTTCACTGAAATCTACATAAAATCCAGCTCACCCACAATATCTTATTTAGTAGAAGAGAAGAAGAAGAGGAGTTTGGATTTGATATTCTGCTTTATCACTGCCTGAAGGAGTCTCAAAGCAGCTAACAATCTCCTTTCCCTTCCTCCCCCACAACAAGCACTCTGTGAGGTGAGTGAGGCTGAGAGACTTCAGAGAAGTGTGACTGGTCCAAGGTCACCCAGCAGCTGCATGTGGAGGAGCGGGGACGCGAACTTGGTTCACCAGGTTACGAGTCCACTGCTCTTAACCACTACACCACACTGGCTCTCTAGTAGTGCTGTGGAAGTTCTTGAACTGGTGTATGAGCATTGGTTGGAAATGCCACGAGCCCTGGGGAGCTCGTTTTATCTTACAAATAACTCTCCTTAATTTCCATACTCATTTATTGAGTTATATTTCAATTGCAGTGTAGCCATTGAATACGGCATTGTTTGTACATGTGTATGTTTACAATTAAATGATTTCTTTCTTTCACCCCATTACAGATGAAACACACTAGTTATATATTTACTGAACAAAATCAATAAAGACTCACTTTATGTTTGGATATTTGTGGGGTACGATGATGTCACTGTTCTTCAGCCACACAATGTCAGGATTAGGGTTACCCCTGGCCCGCACATTCATTTCCAGTTTATTTCCCTCCTTAACACTCATGTTCTTCAGCTTCTCTACAAACAGTGGTCTCACTAAGTGTTCCTTAGCTAAAAAAGAAGAAGATGACAGGTTATCAGATGAAGATACTGAGGAGGTAGACTACTGTAATCAATGTCCAAAAGAGGTAGGGCAAATACCTTCCACTGTCAGGGTCATTGCGATGGATGTTTTGCCTGCTCTGTTTTGGGCAATTACAACCCATTCCCCGGAATCATCAGGTGTAGCTGGAACAATAATCAGCGACTGTGTGCCATCTTCCTTAATCACAATTTTATGTGTGTAATCGTTAAGGACTTGTTGACCTATGGGAATAAATATACGTATTATTTTAGACCGGAGCGTTGTTTTCTTTCAATGTGAATCTTTGATTTTGCAAAGAGCTGCATGACGAATGGTGAGTTTCATACCATTGTGGAACCAGTATGTTTCTGGCATAGGTCTGCCCACAACTTTGAGGTCAAATCTCGCCGTCTGCCCTTCTGCACATTTAAATGAGGTTGGCTTCAAGACGAACACTGGCTTGTACAACCTCTCCAGCTGTGCTTCGTCCGTCTCCTCCAGTCTCCGTGCAGGTGAGCGTGAAGGGGAACTGCGGGCAGGAGAGCGGCTTGGGGAGCGAGGAGAGAGAGACCTGCAAAGATAATAAACCATCCTATTAAACACATGCTACCAATGATATCTGAAATGTAGCAACCTACAGGGAACCTCCATTTAGTAATTCCATTACAGCCATACAGATGGTTTAAGGGGGGCTTATGTCAATTAATTAGAGAGTGCTGTGTTGTGGGACATACAAAATACTGCTTGTATGTGGCCATAGTCATCCTAGGCCAGGGGTAGTGAACCTGTAGTCTTCCAGGTGGGACTCAATTTCCCATCAGCCCCAGCCAGCATGACCAATGGTGAGGGGAACTGTAGTCCAACAACATATGTAGGGTCACAGGGCCACCACCTGTGTTTTGGCTATAATATAGTGGGCTACTCCTCTCCCCAGACTATCTTGGGGATGTGACTTATTCTGCAGTGGCTGCCAATTAGTTTCTAGGCCCAATTCAAACTGCTGGTTATGACCTATAAAGCCTTAAAGAGCTCAGGCCTGCAATACCTCAAGGACTGTCCCTCCCCATATAAACTGTGCCATACTCTGCGTTCATCATCTGAGGCCCTTTTTCATGTGCCTCCTCCACATGAGGTCCAGAGGGTGGCCACACAAGAACAGACCTTCTCTGTAGTGGCTCACTGTTTGTGGAATGCTTTCCCCAGCGAGGTTTGTCTGGCGCCTTCATTGTATATTTTTAGGCGCCACGTGAAAACATTCCTCTTCAACCAGGACTTTGGCTGATTAATATTCTACAACCTTTTAAATGTGTCTGTGGGAAGGAGGTGGTTATTGTTTCGCTGTTTCATTCTAATAATTTACTTGTGTTTTTATCTTGTATTCTATTCTGCAAACCACCCTGAGATCTTATGAGGAAGGGTGTACATAAATTTACTAAATAAATAAATTAAATAAAATAGATTCTTACCGATATCTTCTAATCATTTCAGGCGATGGGATATAACCTGGAGACCCACTTGGTCCAACAGGCTCGACGTATAATTTTGCAGAGCATATGGCATTTCCTTTTAAGTTACTGGCAAAGACAGTATAAATGCCTTCATCTTCCGGTAAGACAACAGGTAAACGGAGGCTGGCTCTGCCATCTTGTAGGACCTCCATGTGGTAGTGGTCTCCATGCTTGATACGCTTGCCATCCTTGTACCATGCAATCTGCATTTAAAAAAAAACAACTTGCAAAACTATGTAGGTGGCAAGAATGAGGTTCCCTATAAATGTCCTAAAATTTCCCATGACATACTCAGTTGATTTTCACACTCTTATAGTTGGTTTGGTAACATGAAAATGTGTGGATATGTGTTCTCTCTTTCCTTTTCCTTTCTTTACAATACATGAAAAGGCACATCAAGCTTAAGGAACGAAAACACTAAAATAAAGCTTCCTCAGATTATATCTGTTTTCATCTAGCTGTGTGCAAAACTTCAGATTTGTTACTTTTGTAAACTATGAAAGGTGTTACTTTTAAAAATTGGTTTTTCCTGTTGCAGTCAGATGAATTAAGAAATGTCCCCTATACAAACATGATTTAACTGGTGGTGGTGGGAGGCGTACAAATAGCACAGTTTGTTCTGTTGTAAAGTACACACACACACACACACACGTCAGTTTACATTTCTTAGTGCAGAAAGTATTGATCTGCTGTATAGAGATCTTTCCTATTCTGATTAATTCAAGAGGGTTCTGGAAGTTTCTGGAAGCTTTTCTGTGTGAAAGAACCCTTGTGATTGCTTGGGTTATATCTTCGGAGAAGCCGAGTGCAGCTAGCTTGAACTGGTTCTCTTATCTCTTCCAATTAAGGTCATGCTGACTATAAATATAGGCCAGAAGGAGCCTGGGTTTTACTTTCTCTTTCTATCTCTCTTCCTTCTGGTGTGGTGTTCTGAACATAGTATGTTTAGGGCAGTGGTGTCCAAACTTTTTTCAAAGAGGGCCAGATTTGATGAAGTGAAGGGCCGTGAGGGCTGACCAGGCTGACCAGAGGGCCAATCAAAGTTGTTGACCTTTTTTTAGGATTAGGATTTAAGTTGTAGAGCTTTTTTTTAAAATTTACCCCAGCGAATAAACTGCCACAGGGGCCAGATTAAACCGGCCAGCGGGCCAAATTAGGCCCCCAAAACGGACTTTGGGCATGCCAAAGTTTAGTCTTGTTATACATTTATAAGCTTTGTAACTGTTGCAACTGGATTTTTATGGACTGTGCTAATCCTGAATGTACTGGATTTGTGACCATTATGCTTATTTGCCTTCAGTAGCAAGTAAAAGCTCTGGTGAATGAAGTACAATTGCCTCTGGTCTATTTTTGGGAACTCTGCTACGTGTTTAAGGTTTCCCTCCACACATACGGCAATACATACCTTGGGCAAAGGATATCCAGTCATCTTGCAATGGAAGGTCACACCACTTCCCTCAAGGATTCGGTAATTCTTCAGTCTCATTTCAAATTCTGCTTCCACTGTTTCGGATTCAGAAACATCAACCACCATTTCTTCTCCGTCTTCTTCAAGGAGTTCCTCCAAGGTGGTCTTAATAATTCTGTATTCAATTTCTTTGATAAGTCTTTCTTCAAAGGAGGAAATGTGAAATTCCTACAACAACAACAAAAGAAGTGTTTAATGAGGGTTATATTCCAGTTCTTAGGACAACCACAAAGGAAAGAAAGAAGCAAAACAGAACTGAAACGCCTTGAAATTATAAACGACTACTTCAATAGATTTACCTGTTCTTCAGCAAAAGTTCTGACGAGCACAGTATCTTTTGCCATTTTCTTCATAATTAGAGCTTGTTCTTTTTCATATTCTTTTTCGTAGTCGGCATACGAAGTCGGTGGGGCTACCGCAGCCACTTTAGGCTCTTGTACATATGCAGTTACTTGGGTTTGATAGAGTGTTTCTTGAGATTTTAGGTAGACCTCGTAGTCAGCTAAAGGCAAAAATATACTCATTTTAGTAAATTGACATATGAGAACATGTTGCCATCTGAGTGCTGGTTTGATGGGGGGAAAGGATCCTAAAGCAGAATATTTTTGTGCTGAGTTAGGGACACTGATTCTGCCCTTCCTTTAAAGTTGCAGTATAATTAGAATGCCTTTTTTAAAAGTGAATGTTATAAAACAGAGGCCCCTAAGCGATTTGCTGGGGCTCATGTGGGAATTGTTGGGTCTCGGTGATTGTGCCAATTATATGTTGGAAACAATATGGATCAGATGCAAGGTAACAAGAACAAATTTCCAATGCTGTGTTCTGATACTAAAAATGTTAACCAATCCCTGGTTAAGTCAACATCTAAGCTTAGCCAACACCATTCTTCTTGCGGTATCTATGTTAACTCTCATTGCCATATTCAGCTATTACTTTATAAAATCCAGGGATCTTTGCTCTTGTGCAGTGTATAAGAAACCCTTGTCACTTCTTGCCATGTTAATCTGGACAAGCTGGGCAATTGTGACAAGCGGGAGACCTACATTTGGGGGGCCCTGAAGCTTGAACTGTCATGGGGGTCCCTTCACAACCAGCAATGAGGTCTGGGTAACTGTTGTCTTCTTCAATGGGGTTGTTCCATGACAGATCACCACACATTGACAGCATCAGTGCTACAGTGGTGTGAGGTCAGTAGACTAGGGGGTAGTGGCGCCCTCCCTGTGGAACACCCTCCCACCAGATGTCAAAGAGAACAACAACTACCAGACTTTTAGAAGACATCTGAAGGCAGCCCTGTTTAGGGAAGCTTTTAATGTTTGATGTATTACGGTATTTTAATATTTTGTTGGAAGCCGCCCAGAGTGGCTAGGGAAGCCCAGCCAGATGGGCGGGGTATAAATAATAAATTATTATTATTATTATAGTCCCCTAAATGTTCCCGGTAAATTAGAGTATTAAAGTATTAAAGCCTAGTGCCTCCTTTTCAAAGCCTGGGGAGCTTCTGCCTGGCTTAAGGAGGAAGGTGTGGTGCTCTCCAACAGGGAGAGAGGTATGATGCTCCCACACACATCCCCCCCCCCAATTGCCCTTGCAACCTGGTGCCTTTGGCCCTAACGGTCCCCCTATGAAAATATTCACTGCACTCCAACGTGTGCTATGGACTCTCCAATCTTGCGATTGTTGAAATAGATACAACAACAAAAAATTAATCATTTGTAGTTACGGTATTCATATTGGGTCTACTGGAACCCAACTTTTTAAGCAATATAGACTAAAGTAGCTTCTGGGGCCCCTCCAGGATTAGGGGACCTGAAGCTGAAGCTTCATTAGTTTCATAGTAGACCCACCCCTGTTGTGACTTTGTCAAATGTTAGACAACAACAGTGTCTCCTTGCCTGAAGTTTGCCAATGCAGTGCCCAATGCAGACGCCCACAGAGGTCTTTCCTCATGCCCAGAGGGTCCCATATCCTCTCTGAAATTAGGAAGCATTCTATAGAACAAACCAGCAAATGCCACTTTGCAAATATGCCCGTCAGCCCCAAAAAGGTTGGCAACCCCTGATACTAGCCTTCCTCTTCTTGATTCCCCTCCCCCCCAAAAAAATCACCAATTCCCTACTCACATACCTTCTTCCAGTAAGGAAGCTGATGCAGAAACTTCCCCGTGTTTGTTGCGAACAACAATAGTGTATTCTCCGGCATCGTCGGCAAAGGTCATCGAAATTTCAAGTCTGCATTCCCCAGTCTCTTTTTTATGAAGCACTTTGTATCTTTGGGAACATAAGGAAAGAATAACCGTAAGAACAAACAATTCCAAAGGCACAATAGGCTATCAAAGTATAACATCTGTGATGGGGAGACGCTGATTCTGCACTGCAAGAAAAATGTGTGGCCCAGAGCTCAGGGTTGGCCCTAGCATGCAGCAAGGTGTAGCTAAGAAATGTAGGGACAGAAGAAGGCAGAAACTAATGGTGCAGCAAGACTTATCCAAGTGCTGGCCCTAGTATGAGGATGGGGTGACATTTGGGGCTATGCTTCAGGCAGAAAGAATGTATTGGGCCAGCACTGATAATGCTCTCAAGACCCTTCCAGTGCAGATTAAAAGTTCTCCGGGTGTGAAGAGTCACTATGCTAACAAGAAGATTCCATCCTAGCTTTTTGTCCAATCAGCTAAATATCCACATTCAGCATGTTTCTGATGTTGGGCAGGACATCCCTATCTTGAAATGATACAGTTCATCTACAGTATTTGAACATTTGAGTCAGGTCTGAGATGCCAAGATCACACTACCATGATAATTTTGACATGGTTACAGTAAGCAGGGGTGTACCTAGGGGTTGGCCAGGTTCTCACCCATCCAAGGGCACAGATCCAGGGGGTCACAAAAACCATGCCTCTCCACCCTGACTTGGAGTGGCTAGAAGCCCAACTGCCCATCTATTCATTCCCTGGGCTGCTCCTCAGCCACTCTGGGTGGCCAACATCTCCTTGCCAAGAGCGCAAGGGATACTTAGAGGATCTCCTGGTGGAGACTTGAAGCAAAACAACTCTTTCTGTTCATTGAAAGGAATCTATGGGTTGTACCTAACACTGATGAATGGAAATGAGCACGCACAACACATCTTTCTCTTCCCCTATCTCTCCAGGGTGTCTGAAGGGTCTATTGAGCAGTGTGGGTTGTGTTGCACAAAGCAAATCACCCAAAATTGGGTGGAAGAATCTTGTACAGTGGTACCTCGGGTTACATACGCTTCAGGTTACACACTCCGCTAACCCAGAAATAGTGCTTCAGGTTAAGAACTTTGCTTCAGGATAAGAACAGAAATCGGGCTCCCGTGGCACAGCAGCAGCAGGAGGCCCCATTAGCTAAAGTGGTGCTTCAGGTTAAGAACAGTTTGACGTTAAGAACGGATCTCCGGAACGAATTAAGTACTTAACCCAAAGTACCACTGTACTCTGTTCCCTTCCCTGATTTTGTACAGATATCCCATTCCTGCTGCAGCTGCACCAGACACAGCTCTGGGGTGTTTCATAGCTCCTCCTGACAATGAGGAAGGGTTTGGAGATGGGGGCATATAAGTGGCTGCAAAGAGGAGGAGGAGGAGGAAGAGGAAGAGGAGGGGGAGGAAAAGATGCATTGAGCAAGCTGCCTTCTGTTCACCCAAGATTGGATGTAACCAATCTTGCAGCAGTTGAGCAGTACTGCAGAGCAAACAAATTGTTTTGTGTCTAGGTACCATATCATGTACCTGGGACGCAGGTGGCGCTGTGGTCTAAACCACAGAGCCTAGGGCTTGCCGATCAGAAGGTCGGTGGTTTGAATCACCGCGACAGGATGAGCTCCCGCTGTTCTTTCCCTACTCCTGCCAACCTAGCAGTTTGAAAGCACGTCAAAGTGCGAGTAAATAAATAGGTACCGCTCCGGCGGGAAGGTAAACGGCGTTTCCGTGCACTGCTCTGGTTCGCCAGAAGCAGCTTAGTCATGCTGGCCACATGACCCGGAAGCTGTACGCCGGCTCCTTTGGCCAATAAAGCGAGATGAGCGCCGCAACCTCAGAGTCAGCCACGACTGGATTTAATAGTCAGGGATCCCTTTACCTTTATCATATCATGTAGACAGTGCATACAACTGTAAAATTCATATTGTACCTGTAGCCTGTCGTAAGAGGAAGCCCAGCTTTCTTCCAGTAAACATGTGGCTTTGGGTTGCCCCCAACTTGGCACTCAAAAATGACACATCCACCTTCAATTAACTTCTGTACGGTCGGTTTCCGTATGAAGAATGGAGCAGCAGCTTCTCCAGATACTTCTTCTGCAGCAGTGACCTCAGCCATCACTACATCTTTTGACTCCACGTAGCTAGAAGAGCAATCACAGAAAAAAAGGTAAAATGCAAATATCATGACCCATCAGGCGGTAAGTATGAAAGGAGTCACCACAATCCAAACACTTTTAAAAATCATTACCGTTTTTCTTCTGTGATCACTTTCGCAGAAACAGCTTCCTTGCTCTCAAACTCTTCTGAGACTATTATAAAATAATAATAATACTGATGTCAGTATACTTTCCACGATGGGGAATTGGCACTTCTGAGGAGGTCAGATAATGAGGAACTTTGTGACCTAATTTAGATGAAATGCTAAACTATGGTTTAGCATTATGAGGTCAGGTAGGCATAAGCCTCAGGTTTACATGCTCCCCTTCTTCCAGTCATTGTTTCCCACAAACCATCATTTCCTGTTACATCTAAGTATAGGAAGTATAGGTTGTTTTCCCTAAACCACAGTTAGTTAAATCAAACCAGGACAAAATCATGGTTTTAGACCCTTCTTTGTTAATTAACTGTGCTTAGAACCACACTGCATAGTTTACTCAGCCATCTACTTAAGAAACCCAGAAAACATCCTCATTAAGGGGGCAGTGCCCACCTGTCAGCTATTGTAAATAAAGCCTCCCCTCTGTTATTTTTCTGTACTTGCCTTGTACGGTCAGGTGGCATGAAGTGCTTACACTTCCTGCCTCGTTGGTAGCAGTGCAAGTAAATCTTCCGCTGTCTTCTGCAAAAGCTTCTCGAATCACAAGGCGAGCGACTCCTGCCTCAAAGGTAATCTGAAAATCTATGGAACTCTCGATGCGATAGTCTTCTCTGTACCACGAAATGGTTGGTGCTGGATATGCAGAGATGCGACATTCCAGAGTGACAGACTCTCCCTCCATGACAGTCACATTTTTCAAGACCTAGATAACACAGACACACACACCCAAATTCATATAATTTCCCTGCTCACAATGAATGGTGTTTTTAAGACGTGCTGGGAAATAGCCCTTTGCTTTAAAATGACTAAACTTGGATTTAAATTGATGCTCCCACTAAGATCACCGGATAGAAACTGAACAAGCCATTTCAGCCAAGGGAACAAAGCCATTCTTCTGTGCTTTGAGTCTGCTCCCTCCACTGAACTGAATGGGGGGGAACCCCTTGCATGCAACAATTTCATATTTGATCCCCAAATGTCCTGCTTTTCCTTGGGACATCCCTAATTTCATCGGAGAAGTGTTGGAAGATATGGAGTTATGTGACCCCCAAGCCAAAGAGATAAGTAACTTTACAAACTTTAGAAGACATCTGAAGGCAGCTCTGTATAGGGAAGGTTTTTTAAAATACTAAATTATGTTTTTCTATATGTTGGAAGCCACCCAACATATGACTGACATTTTATATGACTAGCTGCAAAACATCTACGGATTGATCTTGCTTTTCATCCAACTGACTACATACACTAGATGGCACCAGAGCTTCGTCGTATTTTGAATGTGGGAGGGAAGGAAGGAAAATAACAGAGCAGATTACAGTCGGGAAAGCTCTGAGCATCAATCACTTACTGTTACTATGGATGGAGGTGTGGCGGGAACTTCTACTGGTACCGCTGGAACTCTAGGAGCTTCAATCACCTAGGGGTATATAAAGCCAAGTTAATACAGGACACGCAAGGCTGAGGAAGTCAAGGGCATCATGCATGAGAGTGGAAGTAAGACAATGGATCCTCGCCTGTCCTTCTCCGCTGCTTGCTGTGACAAAGTGGTGTTAGGTTCTTTAGGGATGAATGGTGCAAGACAAAAAAAACCCCACCAACACATGGTACGCAAAGGTCAGTAGGGGAGAGATATTGTCAAGGGGGGTGGGGAAGAGGCTGGTAATGGAGGAGAGTTGTAAACACATCGGGTTACTCCGGATGCAAATCAGGATGGTTGGGGGTGACCTTAGTGACAAACCTCTGGTTCGCCTTCTTGCATTAATTCAACGCGTTCCCGTTGCATCAGGCCACCTGTCATGCTCACACCTATTTCTCTCTTCATCTCAGCACCATAGCGTTTCTGATAGGTGTCAGCTGTCTCTACAAAAGGAAACTGCGGGGAGGCTACTTTCTCCGGCAGCATTCTGGGTTCGGGTGACTTTGCAAGAGGAGGCCTCACAGGTTTGGTGATCTTTGGAACAGAAGTTGCTGACAACTCCTTTTGCAGAGTAGCTATAGCAGATCCTGCTATTGAAACCTAACCAACCCAAGAGAAAGAGAGTTACCACTTGGCTGCTTTTCTGCAAAGGTGCACAATGAATTAGCCAAGCAAATACATGTAAAAAGAGAGAAAGAAAGAAGAAAGGAAAGCAACAGCACTTTTTATTGTAATGGGCAGTTTTAGAAAGATAAGAAGTAATCAAATTTTTTTTTTGTCTACCGATAATTAGCCGTTATAATTTTTGAAATAATGAAAAATCATGTTTTAATATTTTGGCATTATTCAAATTAAAATCATTCCAGATTTGCTATTAAGCAGCCAGAAGTCTCATAAAAGTCATGTGACTTCTAGGCTTGTTTGACAGAAATTCAAATGATATTGCCCATGATATCATGGTAAATTTTCAAACATACAAAGGAAGGCTGCTAATTCCCTTTCAGTTAAAATGCCCAGATTGTTACATTAGGTATCCAGTACCTATCTGTATTTTATTTGGAAACAACGTTACAGTAAATTCCAATCATTTTTGCCTAATTTACATGTACTTGAGGCTTAAAAAAAAGGGTGCATTTGTAATGTAAAGACGAAGAGATAACACAAATCTGAATTCTAAAAATGAATTAGCTGGGATTGTTAGATGATGAGGCCTGTAAAGGAGACAATTAAAATGTCAACTAGAAGTGGAAAAAGAAGAAGATTAAAGTACTGCAAAAGCATAAAGTACTAGTGGAGACGTATGATATAGTATGGATTATGTAGGTGTAGCAAATTAATTCCTAAACTGATTTAGTATGCAGCAGAACCATTGAGGAAGAAAGAATAAATGGTCTCATTTTAGGAATTATTCGATTAATGCATGGGGTAAACATTTAGAGAGAATTCTCTACTCTTATTGAGAAGAAAGGTGTATGCCAGGCACATAGCATTTTATTCAGGATTTCCTTCCCCCACCCACCCACATTATTGTCCCTTTCTGGACAATAGCTAGTATGATTATGAAATAATAATTCGGAATATGGAGTTTCTCTGGTGATTTTACAGACTGCTTATGCAGGTAGATCTGCAGTATTTTAAGAGAGAACAGCCTAATAAAATATTAAAGAATGACACATCTTTCCCAGAGGTGTTTTCCTATTAGATTGGGAGGAGACAAGGAATGATTTATGGGCAAGATCCACAAACAAACCTCCTCATTCCCCCTGCGTATCAGCCACTTTGAACTCGGACCTGCATACCGAAGCACACATCGTGCTTGTTTCAGGTGATATGACTGTTTGCCTGGACACACCCTTACTCCTCCTCCTCCTGCTCCCCTTACCTCATAAGTGTGATCTGGTTTAGGAACAGAAATTTTTGAAACTGTAAAATGAGGGCTTGCTGTGCGGGGACGTGTGTGTTCCACATGGATTGATTTTTCGACGGACGTTTCTGCAGTCCTTTTAATCTACATTAACCGACAAAACGTTTTGTTGAGCATAGCATGGCACATACCGAGCGGACGAAACAGAAACAAATATTTTCCAGCAGCCATCGGAATGGCCGCGTGGTTATAAACGGGAGCCTAACCTGTGTTGAGACAGACATCCCCATTTTTTCAGCAGCTGTTATGTGCCTCTCAGGAGGAACATGAACCTCCTCGGTTTTCGTTACTCTGGTGACCACATGATGTTCTGGAGGCAACTCAACAACGCGTCTTGCTAAAGTTTGTTCTTTGTATCCACGTTCCAAAGCTGCCTGTTCAGAATAAGCTTCTTCCGCATAATCTGCCTCTCTTGGTTCTCTAGTGCGTGCTTGGTCAACTGCGTGAACAACTGTGGCTACAGCTTCAGCTCTTTTGCCAACACCAATCTAAAGGTAACATTTACAGAACACCGGCACATATCTAGGTTACTGACACAGAATGGCTAGCATAGAAGACATACATGCAGGCTTAACTGGCTGTCCATAATCCAGGTGCTTCTGTATTCTATGCTTATGTTTTCACACATTCCCTGCTACTATCATATGTATACATTATGCCCCCCCCCCCGGTGTATTCTGGAGCTCCTTTTCCTTGAATACAAATTGAAAAGTCCATTTGAAATACATGTATCTGGATATGGAGGATAGAAGATTGCACTGTACACTATGCAGACAGATAAATGCACAAATACAGTATGTCTCACATGAAATGTTCAAATACTGTATTTGAAGACCGATGTGAGCATTTACTTCCCTCTGGAGGTCTGCTCCGATTGAATACTTGTGTATATGTACATATGCGTACAGAAAGAATAGCATTTTCTGAAACCCATATGTATAAAGTTCAATGCAAATGAAGATTTACGGACAAAAACATGCAAGTACAAACACACTAGCTTTTCAGATAAGTTTGCAACACATATTTCAAAAAGATATTGGATGGTTACACGGGACCATTTTATTACACATCTGCTCCTCATGAATGCTAAAATTCTCCTACAGGTGAATTGGCTCAGAGCTTTAGGTTTGGGGCAGTTTGGTCCTTTGCATGGGCTCTTGGCTAAATTATTGTTTGTTTGCCTGAGCCTCTCCATACTTTAAAATAAAGTGCATCACAAATCCCACTTCATTAAACTGTTACTTATTTGTTTAAAAATGCACTGTATTATTATCTTGTGGGTTGGTAGATCTAGATCATTCATTTAAGCAAGTTATTTTGGAACCTCAAACCAAACGACAAAAGGATTTGGAAAGTAAGTTGTGACTATTTTCTCAGCATTCTGTTTCATCTAGATATAAACGCAAGTAACAAAAATATACATGTGAAATAACTGTACTTTGGAAAAGCTATCTGTTTCAAGGGGGGGGGGCAATGTCACAAGTGCGGATGTTGCAGAGTCTAAAAAGAACTTTGATTGGTGCGTTTCACATTTTTGAGAGCTCTATTCACCTGTTCGTGAACTAGATGTATCTGTTCTCTTTTGACAGCGGCTTCTTCTCTAGCTCTCGATATTGTCTCTTGCTCCCTGCGTTTGTCAACAGCAATGATTTTCGGAGCTACGACAGTTTTTTCGGCTTCCTTTCTTATCTGATCGTTATATGGCAAGAAAAGAAGTTTAAGTCACGTTAACGCCTCGAAAATAAAAGGTGCCAGAATGAGAGATGACACTGGAATGTGCGGGCAGGGAAAGGTTAACAGGATTAAAAGCTTCGTGCCTTGCAGAATGGCCCAGGTCCTGTGCTGAATAAATACCGGCGCTTGGTTATTTAACCGGATGGCTAGTTAAACATAAGAAAATTAAAACACCATTTAGTATATGAATTTTTTAAAGCCTGAAATGTTATCTCAGGGAAGCTGTGAAAATATTAGGGCATACTGTAATGAACAAAAAACAGAGCCCCACTTTCCATTTCTCTTAAGGGACCCAGCACCAGCAGGGTATTAAAAAAAAGTTAGTGCATTTATTGAAGGCATATGATAATGTCAATATGAGGATGGGATGTGAGAATGACATCACCCAGCAGGTCTATTCACCTTTTCTTGGATAAGGTGGACTTGTTCTTGTTTGGCCAGCCATCCCCTCTGTGGTTTTAACTACTGTAGTGGGCACTTTGGGTTTATCAGTTGTAATTACAACCTTAGGTACAGAAGGTTTCACAGGCTTCACAACTTCTTTCCTCATCTAATATTTTTTTTTTCGTAAAAAGAGAGGTGTGATTATATATGATATGGTGTTGCAAAAATATTAACTGGACATCAGGGGAAAGCAAGGCAAAGCATATGGACCGAAAAGAAAAGAAAAGAAAGAATTTCTATGCAGACCCTAGAATTAGTGCTATGTAAGGGCTGCACACAGTCCCGTCTTAATCCTTTGTGGATCTATTGGATTTAAATTGGGATAGAGGCAACCAATTTATTATTTAAGTAACGAAACTCCTTTTGCTGATTACTTAAAATGGCCTTTTCTTAAAATTCCAGCAATCAGTGAGAGTACAAGGAGTTTGCTTTCAAAGATCCAAAAGGTACATTTATCAACACAAGCAGACTTTCTGTAACTGCATCATGCTTGATATCCATGTGGAACCATTTGTGGAAACAGTCTAATATTTGTTGGACTTGCAAGCCAAACTAAGTTGCCAAATGTGATTTTTGAGATTTTCATAATTCGTGGTTGGTTTGTTAGGCCAGCACAGTAGGCCGTTATTTTGAGACATTGGCCTTCACATTAGAAAATAAGGCCCAATTACAACATGGAAACCAATGAGACATTTTGAACTGGGCATAATATTTCCTGAGTTTCACTTGGAAAACTGTGATTGCTGACAAATGTTTGGGTTGGTTTTCCCCCCCCTGCTTGGTGTCTGCAACAAAAATCAACTTGTAAAATGTCAATAATTATCTAGCAAGATTTATGGCCCTGGTAAGAAAAAAACAAACAGTTTATAATCTTACAACCTCTAAATATGAAAGGATTCCTCTTGAAATCATCAAAGTTCTATTGTTGCATCATAATACCACTCATAAAGAAAGGGAACTTAAGAGTAACTGGCAAAGAATAAGGTTTGCAACCAAGAGGTAGATGGGTTAATGGCACATTTTTAAAAGCTGTATTCACCTTTTCATGATGAGTGATGTGAATTTGTTCTCTTGCGGTTGAAATTTCTTCTCTGGTTCGCGAAATCTGTTCTTGCGCCTTAACAGTGTCGGCGGCAATTATTACCTTGGGCACAGGAACTTTCACTGGTTCCTTTTTTATCTGTTTTTTTATGGAAAGAAAGAAAGAAAGAAAGAAAGAAAGAAAGAAAGAAAGAAAGAGTTTAAGTTATACCAAATCTCAGCAGTAAATCACACCACTTTATCCAGGAACAAGGAGATAAGCCCCAGTGGCCATAATCCTAGACAGAACTAAGTGCACTTAAGTTTATGGAAATCAGTATGCTTAACTCTATACTCCCTTGTGGCCAGCAAGCTAGAGCTGGAACAGCTACACATTCTATGCTTGAATAATTGTGGGAAGTATTAAATCCTATAGATGCCATCCTAAACACACTGCAGACTGATATAATGATTCTCCAGAGAATAATTTATTTGGGGGGAAACTCATGGTGTAAACTATTACCATGTGAGAAAACTGATGGGGAGTTAGCGAGATTAGGAGTCTGAATAACAAAGAGACCATCCACAAACAGCTGCAGTGTATCCTCACATCCCAAAAAGAGTGTTCCTGTTGTGTGTCCCAGCAGCCAATTATGAGCTCTCCCAAAAAACCTCCATTCTATTTCTCTTCTCCTCAACTAGCATCCAACACCCCACAGATACTGAGTATACTAAATCCTCATTCAGGTGTTGCTGGTTTTTTTGGAGGGAGGGGGCCTGTTGCCCATTAAAAAAAATGATTGAGGAAGGTGTTACTTCAGATTTCCCACTAAACATGCTGTATCTTCCCTCTTTGTTTCTCAGCAGTCCCCATTTGGGGTCCTGTGTTTGCTTTTCACTGGAGTGACACTACATCTTTACCTCTAGAGAAACAAGAGCATTTTAACATTTAGGCTGCATTCCCATAAACAAAGGGTTTTATGTGAAGAAAGGGAAACATCTATAGACATATTTTTTTCCTGAGGGCATGTATTACTGTTGTACTGATTGCATATTCTTTTATAATGGAACAATCCTCACAAGGAGAATTCTATTGTGTTCTGAAAAGCAACAAGAGCATCTTCTTCTCTGTTGTCTGTTCTTCTGTGGTGAACTGAGGCACAATGGAATTTGACAGAGTGCATAATATTCACATGAGCAAGAACTTCAGGAGGTACTCATCTTTAAAGAGGAGTTCAACTCCTGTTTCCCTCCCACCTTAACTTCTCTCTCCATGGTCCTGATTTAAAGTACTGTAAGTAAATGTGAAATCCGGCATGAAATTATCAGATGCTCACATATAAATCATGTGACAGCAAGCTCTACGATGTTACAGAACACTTCACAATGAATGGAGGAATGGTGTAGCATCGTGAAACATGACTCACAGAGAAGGGTGGGGGGAGTGGGCATCCCAGAACTATCTCTCAGAAAAGACAGCAGGGATACATATTTTTAAGCTTAAAACTTTCATTCATATGATGAAGAATCAGGAAATATTGGCCTGCACAACAAGGACTGCTCAGGTGGGATCCAGTGTAGCATTAGTGCCTGAAGTTTGAGAGTTGATGTTGTTTTGTAAGTGGTTGTGCCAGAGGCAGTACACAATGGTTAACTGCCATGAAACAAAACAATAGCAGTTGTGCAACATCCTATGTAAGTGCAAGGCACCCACTGGATTTGGCTGTTGTGTGGTGCTAAAATCAAGGAGTTCACTAGTGGAATGGCTGTTGCATGCCACAACTGGATATCACTGCTTAGTTTCACGGTGAGGGGATTATGATAGCCCAGTGAAATTTCTGACGTCATTTTTTTTCTTTGAAAACTTCCCTTATTTTTAAAATCAGTTCCCCATGTGCAGCAAGGAGAGCAGTTACCGATCAAGAAAACAGCAGGGGGGAAATTACAGCTGTTCTGGGCTCGCATAGCTAATTTCATGTTTCTTTGAATTCTGCCCAACATCTTTAACATAAGACCAAACTTTAGAGCATTTTCTGTGTTAGACGCTCATTGTTGGTTTGCTCTGAAACCAATAAAGCTTCTGGGCACAACCAGCCCTCTCTAGTCTAGACACATACATATATATAGATCAGCCACAACCAAGAACGACTTGTATGAATGTTAGCAGTGACAAATCAATGGATTAGGGCTTGGAAGAGTGATGTCACAATAAGCACACACATTCTATTATGAGCATAGCTGTCAAGGTTTCTCTTTTTTTAAGGGAAATTCCCTTATTCCGAATAGGATTCCCCTTAAAAAAAGGAAAAAGTTGACAGCTATGATTATGAGGCTCTTCCAAATCCTAGCAAACAAGACAAAAGGAAAATGGATGCATGGCTTATCACTGATCACAAGGTATACAGCTTGCAAATGAAACAAAAGTGACAAGAAGTGAGCTTCCCATGGGTAAAATAGGTACTATTCACCTTTTCATGAGTGATGTGTATTTGTTCTTGTTTAGTAGCAACTCCTTCTCTAGTTCTTGATATTACCTCTTGTTCTCTGGCTTTACCAGTAGTAACAACTATGGTAGCTTCCTTTTTAATCTGATCGTTGTGGTAGAAACAAAGAAAACCAAGCCTTAACATTTATTTTCAGCAAACAGACACTTTGAAAAATAAATAAATCACAAACATCATGACAACTGGAGGAGTATATGCTTGGGGAAAAGTTATTTCAAGCTCAGGCCAGGGGGTGGGAAGATAAGTTAAATATTAGGAACACCTTGGTCAGTATGATAAAAGTAATGTTAGATTAACCCAAACTGTCTCATTGAATCATTGTTTACTGGGGTTATTAAAATCAGTCCTGGGACATCTGTACAGTATAAAATGGTTTAAAAACTGTTAGCTGGTTCCTGCCATTAATATAAAATGGATTGGTGTATTTATATTAGTTGACCCCAATGGTTTATATTCAGATGTTTTTCTTTACCATTAATACATGCTTATCTGGAATGCTTGCTAGTATTGTGTTAATTGTTTGCTGATTCATGCGGTGGTTGTGTGAATGGCAAGGAGAGGATGTTATAGATACATATATATATATAGAGAGAGAGAGAGAGAGATTGCTGTTTTATTGTGCTTCTACCTGCTCCTGGACAGGTTGAATGTGTACTGCAGCCATTGCTGTCCTTTTAGCAGTCTGTTCTACAGCGCTTGGATGAGGTTCTCTCACTCTGGCCATGTCTACAGCAGCAACTACTGTAGCAACAGCTGCTGTTTTCTCAGTGCCCTGTGGGACCCAAATGAGTCACATGAAAAGACATATCTTTCCCCCCATAGGCATAAAACAACAACAGCAGCAACAACAACAACATAACAACATGGTGCTGAGCACAAGGCAAGCAGATGGACTTACTACTCAGTCCAGGGATGGGAATCCTTGGTCCCTCCAAAAGCTGTTAGACTCCAACTCCCACCATCCGCCTTGTGCGAGTTGCGGGCCGAACAACATCGAGAGGGCCATAGGTAATCCACCCTGGACTTAATTCTATTTAGACATTATGATTCCACTGCCTAAATAGCCATATAAGCAGGGACTGGTGCACAGCTTTCTCGTAATTCTACATGAACAGGCTAAATTCACTGTCAACACCTCACAAGACGGAGCCAATGAGCTGTGGTCTTTCAAAATGTTTCTGAAGAAAGGCCTTACCTCTGCTGCCGCTGCTGCAGCCGCAGCCGTACTGGCAGCAGCACCAACTCCGATAGCAGCCGCCGCTGCAGCTGTGCCACTGACAGTGATCTGTTCCTGGACACCGTATCTCCCCTCCCATCTCTCTTCAGTCTTCATCTGGGTGGTACTTGTCGTTATTCTGGTGTCTCTCATTCTCGTTTCAGATGTGGCAACGTAGCCTTCCTGCTTCCAAGGAGGAAGGACCTCAGAACCCTCCGCTGCCGCTGCCTGCGCTTTACGCACCAAGATTGGGGATTTCACAGGCCTGATGGGTGAGGTGGAGACTGAGAGCCTCCCAACCCCAGCAGGAGACACGGACCTGTGGGATAAACATAGCACATTGCTGATGCCATGAAAAACAAAAGCAACAATAGGGCAGCCTAGTATTTAAGCACTTGCTTGGTGGTCGTGGGCGAGAAGGAACTGCATGCAAGGGAGTCAATAAACTGGAAATATTATTATTATTATTATTATTATTATTATTATTATTATTTCATGTGCATGCTGCCCATCTGACTGGGTTGCCCAGCCACTCTGTGTGGCTTCCAATAAGATATTAAAACAGGTATGGATCACTGTGTCTTTCCTCAGTACCTAGTACAGAAGCCAAGGAGGCTGCCAAAGGAGGGAGGCATTCTGCTAGCTCTGAGCAAGCTAGTAAGCACTTTTGTGGGCTAGGATCATTTGTGGGCTTATTTGCAAAGTTGAGTTAAAACATCCTGCCCTGATTGCACAGGTTTCCATACTCGGTGTGCTGTATACGAACTGATAGTGTTGAGTGCTAACAGAAATCAGCAGAATACGTTCAGTACTTGGAGCGTAAATTAAACCGGTGCCATGAAAATTCAGGGGGAAAGCATATTGATTATTCAGCACCAGCAAAAAAGAAAGTGGGGTAAGTAGGCTGGAGTTGTGCAAGAATAAGAAATTAGTTCAGTTTATATATCTTAAGTGGTGTCCCACTGAGGATTCAGCTACATTAGTAAAACAAAACAAACAAACAAAACAACAACAACAGCGTTTTGAATGCGTTTTAAATATGCAACCCCAAATTGTGATGTACAGCACAAAACTTTTCTATGCGATTTTACATGGCGTCCCCCCCCCTTTTGTTACGATTTAATTTATGACTTATTTATAGTGGGGTTTTTTCCTGTGTGTAGATCCACCCTAAGTAAAACCTGAAGTAAACTAAATGAATTCAATGGATTTAATTTAGTAATTAAATCTAGAACTAGTATTCTATATATCTACAGATTTTATTAACATCTGATCAGACTCTGAATAACAGCAGTGTGGGCTCAATACTTATTCAGAGGAAAATAAAAAGCAGAACTGTGTCCTGCAGGGGACACTGTTGCATCAATGTTGTATTTATATATCTTCTCAGAGGTAGGTTATCTATGAAGTAAGCAATTGTTTCCCCCCCCCCCAAATCGTGGCTATCACACACACACATAATATATTTATTTAACTTTTCTTTAACAAAATTTGCAGGCTGCTTGATTGTCTAAAAAAATCTCCAAGCCGTTTACAAAGGCTATAGAACATACATGAAAACTGTCAATAATAACTAAAGTTTAAAACAAGGTTTTTGTTTGTTTTAAATCAAAAGATGAATATAATCGCACCATAGACTAAAGCTGCAGATTGAGATACATGCCAGTTTTACGTGTCTGAGTAGGCTTGCCTAGAGAGATATGTTTTTAGAGGTGCTGGAAAGAATACAGTGAAGGCAATTGCCTAATGCCAGTGAGCAAGGGAGATACAGAGAGTAGGAGCTGCTACACTGAGAGATGAATTCTTGCAAGTGTGGACTAACCATTATGTGGCATTTGCAAATAAATTATTATTATTATTATTATTATTATTATTATTATTATTATTATTACCCTACCCATCTGGCTGGGTTTCCCCCAGCCACTATGGGTGGCTCCCAACAGTATATAAAAAACACGATGAAACATCAAACATTAAAAATTTCCCTCAACAGATGTCTTTTAAAAGTCAGATAGTTGTTTATTTCCTTGACATCGGATGGGAGGGAGTTCAACAGGGTGGGCACCACCACTGAGAAGACCCTCTGCCTGGTTCCCTGTAACCTCACATATCACAGTGAGGGAACCACCAGAAGGCCCTCGGAGCTGGACCTCAGTGTCTGGGCTGAACGATGGGGGTGGAGACGCTCCTTCAGGTATACTGGGCCGAGGCCGTTTAGGGCTTTACAGGTCAGCACCAACACTTTGAATTGTGCCCGGAAACATACTGGGAGCCATTGTAGGTTTCAGTGCCATAGATCAAAGTGGCTTAGTGGGCATTCTGAGGTGAAATCTTACCCATGTGCAGAGAAGAGTCTCTAAGTTCCAAGTGAGGATGTACCTCATTGTCTAGTATATTTTATCCCTCTTGCTAAACAACAGAAACAGAAACACGCAAGGCGTGTGTGCCTTGCTAAGGATTCCCACCCAACAAAAAGGGCATGGAACCAAATGCACCTATCCAAACCATTGGCTTCCAGGCCATAGCATTTTCTGCGTATCTCATTCCAATTTGTATTAAAGTTGCCAGAGGGAGGTTGGGGAGAAAGAGAACTTTGCATAGGCGTTAGAGTGGTTTACCTGACTGGAGATGGTGTTGGAGCTCTGACATGTCTTACAGGAGATGGCGACTGTCTAACCGGAGATGGCGACTGCTGTCGTGCCATCTGTACTTTGGCAGCACTTATTGGCGGAGTCGGTGATTTAGAGGTAGGCCGCGGTGGCATCCGCGGAGGAGCCTTGTGTGGCAGTTGTTGCCCAGTGGCACTCGCTTCTATAACCATCTCAGCAGTTGCAAGTGTTCTGGCGTCAAAGTGGGCTTCTATCTTCTGCAAATGCAAATAAACAGTCAGGAGAATCTGCAGCAATAAACACAGGCATCCTGAAAACTTCCAGTAAACCCGCCTGCCAAAATACAAACCTTTTCAACTCTAGTTTGTCTTGTAGCTTGTGTAATCTGAGCAGTCGAAACAATTGTCTTTGTCTTTTTAGCGGGAACAGCCTCTTCCTCACCTAATAAGAAAGGGAAACCAGACTCTTAAATTGCAATATAAGCATTAATTGGTTTTGTGTGTGTGTGTGTGTGTGTGGGAGAATAAAATCTGTTGTTCTAATTTTTTATGTTCACATATAAACACCACCAGTAAAAAAAACCACAAAAAACCCCCAAAATCCTGCCATCTGTTTTTCTTGGGCATCTAGACAATTAATGGAGGAACTGTTGATATAAGATTAGTCTTTTTGTAGAACTATGTAATTAGGCCAACTGTGTGATGCATAATAATGAAGACATTGATGTTTCAGAATCATGGCAGCATGTCATATAAAGCCTAGAAAAACAAAATGACTGAAACATAGAAATATGTTCTGTGTGAAAGTATTATTTGGTGGCTTCCAAATATTTGGCTCAGTTTCACCAAGTTTCATGTGCTTTCTTGAATCTAACCTGTATAACTAAGGATATACCTGCACCTAGAAGAAGTGGGGGGGAGTCCTGTTGTATACGTATAAATCCTTTTGCTGATGGGATGCATCAGTGCCCAGCTCTGCACAGTTGGGCACTGTGCAGAGCTCCCCCAGTCCAGCTGGGACCAATGCGCACATGGGAACAAGCTCCTACTCATGTATCCCTAGCCTGATGGGGAATCTCATGTGATATATGCATAATTCCACAACCTGATCCAACAGCAATGATGCTACACACAACCTAGAGGAGGAGGAGGAAGAGGAGGAAGAGGAGGAGAAAGAGAAGAAACTGCCATAGACCTTCATTTACCCACTGGAGTGCCTGTAAGCATATTTCCAAGTGAGTCATTATGAAGCGACAATACACAACAGGACAAGCCCTGAAGATAAGAAATCAAACCATGCTTTGCTGGGTTTTTATAGCAAAACAACTTTCAAAAAATTATAGGAGAAATGGATTCAATGACAAAGATAAACCTTTTGCCTAACACATACATAAGCGATGCCTAATTATTATTTTTGTATACAAAAAGGGGAAGAACTGCAAACAGTTATGTTGATGATTGAGGGGTAGGAGGGTGAAGAAATACTTTCTCTCATGCTGAGGTATTTAGTTTAAGTTTCAGTCTGCAGCGAATTTTTTTACAACCCAGTTACAAATGCTTGAGAGACACGATGTTGATGGATCTGTTGACAGAACAGTAATAGCCGTGTAGGCACTGCCATGATGATACAGTAGGTATGTGGGGGTTTTTGTGTGTGTGTGTGGCTGACACACTTCTGATCTATTATTACCTTGAACCAGAAGTTCGGCTGTTGAAGTTGCTCGTCCCACGCTATTTGTGGCATTTACTGAATAGGTGCCGGAGTCTTCGGGGTAAGCTTCTGCAATTATTAAACTGTAGAGGTCTCCTTCGTGTAAAATTTGGAAATCAGGGGAGCTTTGAATTTCTGCTCCATCCCGATAGAACTTCACCACAGGTGTAGGGATTCCAGTCACTCTCACGTCAAGTCGAACTTGACTTCCTTGTCTTGCTGTTGTGCTCTGTAGTCGTTGTGAAAAGTTGGGTGGCGCTGTTTCAGCTGTGGTTTAAAGAACAAGAAGCATGCTCAGATAAGAGGGGAACAAAAAAGACCAGTTCCTGGTGATTTTAATCGATTGTATTAAAATTATGTTAAAGCAGGAGTGGCCAACCTGTGGTCTTTCAGACATTACCAGGCTACAAGTCCCATCATCCTTGACCATTGGCCACACTAGCTGCGACTGATGGGAGTTAGAAGTCCAATACCATTTGGAGGGCCAGAGTTCACCCATCAATGTGTTAAAATATTAACTATGTATTAAAGATTATCAAGGGACGTGGGTGGCACTGTGGGTTAAACCACAGAGCCTAGGACTTGCTGATCAGAAGGTCGGCAATTTGAATCCCCGCGAGGGGGCGAGCTCCAGTTGCTCGGTCCCTGCTCCTGCCAACCTAGCGGTTCAAAAGCATGTCAAAGTGCAACTAGATAAATAGGGCGGGAAGGTAAACAGTGTTTCCGTGTGCTGCTCTGGTTTGCCAGAAGCGGCTTAGTCATGCTGGCCACATGACCCGGAAGCTGTACACCAGCTCTCTCAGCCAATAAAGCAAGATGAGCACTGCAACCCGAGTCGGTCACGACTGGACCAATGGTCAGGGGTCCCTTTACCCTTTACCTAAAGATTATCAATAATTGTTCCAGTAAAGGAATCCCAGATTTTATCTTTCATATACCTTTGCGGCAAGAAAATGGAATTATTATTATTTTAAAACGTTGTTATCATTGATCCTATTTATAGGTATAATGTCACTAAATCAGAGGAAATTATTGTGTCAGTTTTGACTGAAGCATTTCAGTGGCAAACTCTTACAAGAAAAGCATCAGTTGAGATTATCAGAAAACAAAGGGATTTCTTTGTATCGGTTAAGTAGTTCCACTAAAATCAGTGTAGCTTCTGGTATGTTAAATATTATTCACAAATTATTAGGCAGGATCAAAACATTCACCAAGAGACTTTACATTCTCAGGCTATAAGGATATTTGTCTCCTGAAACACCTGTACTTTGCCTTTTGGAAATTCTGTGTATATGTGCTGAACAACACACATAAATATACATAAAGTAATACGTTGTATGGGCACAAATGCTTGATTCTTTGGATAATTATATCCTTTTCAAGGGAAAAGGTTCATGGGGGGTCCAGTGAACACAAATCTGTTGCCTTGGCCCAGTATACCTCAAGGAGCGTCTCCACTGCCATTGTTCTGCCCGGACCCTGAGGTCCAGCTCTGAGGGCCTTCTGGTGGTTCCCTCACTGAGGGAAGTGAGGTTACAGGGAACCAGGCAGAGGGCCTTCTCGGTGGTGGCGCCCACCCTGTGGAACGCCCTCCCATCAGATATCAAAGAGATAAATAACTATCTGACGTTTAGAAGACATCTGAAGGCAGCCCTGTTTAGGGAAGTTTTTAATGACTGATGCTTTAATGTATTTTTAACCTTTGTTGGAAGCCGCCCAAAGTGGCTGGGGGGACCCAGCGAGATAGGGCGGGGGTATAAATAATAAATAATAAATTATTATTATTATTATTATTATTATTATTACTACTACTACTACTACTGATTTACATGTGCATCTTGGGGACATCATGTGCAGGCCTCATGTATCCTATAGTTGACTGGTCCTTACTTCCAAGCAAAAGTATTTAGGATTAAGGGGTAAACTAAATATGAATAATCTTATAATGGCGTAGTCTTTGAATACAGAGTAGGATTTAGAAGTGGGGAAGGAGATGAAGCAGCTTGCTTAACGGTGTTGCTCTCTTGCGCCTTTCTTAATTTCATGCTTCTAAAAAGTAGTATTTGTGGGTCATTTCACTGGGTTGGCAGGTGTCAGAAGGAAAGTGCCAACTGTTGATATTCCCCTAATTGCAACATACCTGTTACAAGTAGTTCAGCGGTACTAGTTGCTTGTCCAGATCCATTGGTGGCTTGTAGGGTGTATCTTCCACTGTTAGCGGCTGTCACGGCGGAGATCACAAGTTTAGCGCGGCCATCGCTATATGAGATCTGCACACCGGGCAGAGTTGCAGCAGAAATAACCTGACCATCCCGATACCAGCTCACCTCAGGAACTGGGGAACCTTTAGCAAGAGAAAGACAGTTAAAGCGTTAGTGTTGTTAATAAGGTTGCCATAGCGGCTGTGGCAATGGTCACAAAATATCACTGAAGAAGAAGAAGAGAGAAGAGTTTGGATTTGATATCCTGCCTTTCACTCCCCTTCAGGAGTCTCAAAGCGGCTAACAATCTCCTTTCCCTTCCTCCCCCACAACAAACACTCTGTGAGATGAGTGGGGCTGAGAGACTTCAAAGAAGTGTGACTGGCCCAAGGTTACCCAGCAGCTGCATGTGGAGGAGCGGAGACGCGAACCCGGTTCCCCAGATTACGAGACTACCGCTCTTAACCACTACACCACACTGGCTCTCTCCGATTGTCGCCCATGCAGTTTTCAAATGACATAGGGCCTCAGATTCTGATTAGTCAAGAAGAATGTGATTTGAAGGGTATTGCATTTTGAGAAAACCAACGCTGGCCGTGCCCTTGATTGCCAGAACACGTCAATATTCATTTCTGCTGTCTATGCAGTAGGAGCCATCTGGCAATCTTCTTTTCTACCTTCTAATATTTAATAATAATAAACTCTCAATATTTCCATCTAATTTTTCAACTGAAAGAATAGCTGAGATGCAAACAATGAGAAGGTAAATTTCCTAGGTGACAAGTAGAATTTAACTTGTATTGCTTAATCTTTTTTTTTTAAAAAAAAGGGATAGCTCAAGAAAACTGAAGGAGTTGAAATTATTTGCACATTTGCACTATACCCTATAAAGTGGTTGTATTATAAGAGAATTCCATATCCAGCAACATAGGAGGTAAAATTAGAACACTTGAAGTCCCTGTTTCAATTCTCAGGCTCTCTGTGAACATACTAGGTAATCTTAAGGAAGCAACAGTCAACTTTAGCTTCCCACCTGTAATGAAGGGGCACTTGTTCTGGCTAAGGCCAGCCCTATTGTTAGCCAGAGTAAGGAAACCTTCTGAGCACCATCAACCATTCTCCGTTGTTGGAGGACATAAACTATACATGTGCTATATGGCCTGTCCTGCTGTATAAGCTGCTGTCCTCAGGGGCAGCGGAGGGTTAGAGTCCCTATCCTGCTAACAGTACTGAAGTAAGATTCAGCTGGCCAGCACAATTGGCTTCTATATATGGGATGGTGTGGAGATGGGTCACCATTTTGTCCTTTGCCTCAGGCGGTAAAATCCTCTGTGCTGGCCCTACATCACATAATTTTTGCAAGACTTACTGAGTGGATGCATGTAAAAGTGCTATGATCACTTAGAAATGTGATGTATAATATAAATAAAGTAACAGTTTTATGTTGCAGTCTGAAAGATTGTATTTTGCGATAATTTGGGGGGAAAGCCCCAATTTGCTGACATTAATATACAGTTTACAACCTAACTTTAATATTTGACTTGTAAATATAGATATGTAGTCCGATTTTGCATTATCGTAGGTAGAGAAAGACTAAATTTTAAATGCCTGGTTATTGATAAGAGGGGAAGAATTGCAAGTGCAAAGTTATCCTTCTTTGGTGATTTAGGAGCTCAGATTTCAAGAGATAAAAATTGCTCACAGATTTTAGTGCATTAGAAACCCAAATCCTGAATCACTGTCAGCCCTGTCCAAATTGATGAGCGGCTTTGGGGAAGGAGGGATTTACAACACCTTGCAATGTGAGTTAGTGTTAACAATAAGATTACTTTGTGCAAAGGATTGGATTGGAGACACAAGCAAAAGAGAAACGGTTTCAGAAAACTAGCTCTCCCTGTGATACAGAGAGCTTAGGAAAATACTCCCAGCCTGTGCCACCATGCTCTGGTCCCACTGACATACTAAGTAGTCCAGTGAATGTGGCAGATGGAATAAATTTGAGGGATAAAAGGAATCTTAACCCACAAGATGGGGAATGGGGAACATTTTTCAGACCGAGAGTCACATTCTCTTACGCGCAACCTTCTGGGTGCCACATGCAAATGATGGGCATGTTCAGAGGCAAAAATGGGGGACCCGATGGGTTTGACTCTTTAGATACGTATGATAGGCTACATTCTAGCCGTGCAAACACCAGTAGCTTCAATACTCTCACCCACCCCACAGACCTCTCACAGGAATTATCACCCTTTGAGGTCTATTTTAGCCAGAAAACCCTACTTTGACAGCAAAAGAGGAGCTCAGTTGAGAAGCCCTCCGCCCCCCCGTTATGATATACCTCACTGCATCTAGGGCCAGATTAAGGCATGCTGAGGTCCTAAACTATGTCAGGTTTAAGAGGACCCAGACCGTTACACACACACACAAAATGTATCATTCTAACAGAAAGGACAAGGGAAATCATAAATATCTGTGCATGCATATACACTGGTGAATAGGTGAGAATGCAACTGAAAACTAACAATTTAACTAGAACGTATCTTGCAATAGGCCTGTTTGTTGTATATGAAATGCCTTTACATTTTAAAAGCAGAATTGGTGGAATATGGTACTAAGTGGGCAATGTGCTTTGAGGAACAGGATCCACTTGCACAATGGGACTTCCTCCTAAATTTTCATTGCTGATTTGGGGATTGCCGGGAAAGAATAGGGAACATGATTCCATGCATGCAACAGTTTAGCTGAATCCCACCCACTTCTTTTTGTATATAGAGGCCCCTTATAACCAGAGGCCATAAACTGCAGCTAAAGTGAGTTTGTGTATAAATCTAGCACTGAGTGCAGCTTCTGTGACCAAGAGATCGCCATACCCACCACGGCTGAGTTCTGATACTAGAAGTGACCTCAGCAGAGAGAAAAGGTGTTTGGGCAGAGGGGCTGCAGAGAGGTAAGCATTCCTCTATGCCCCTTTTGTTAAAAACGCCCCTTTCCTTTTGTGTGTGAGAGATCAAGGCAGTTCCATGTTTAAACTCATGAGACTGTCACCACCAACACTTCAAGCTTAGCCTTTGGATATAAAGGCAATAGAATTTACTTTCAAGTAAGTGTTAGGCAATATAGATTCCCACAGGCGAATGCACAAATCAATGGTCCCAGGAAGGATTGCCTGCCTTGCCCTGGCTCACAGTGCAAAATTTATGGTTTCTAGCTCAGAAGAAAGAATTAGAGTAAGCAAGGATGGGGGCATACAGGGAAATGAAGCCACACAGATAGGACTTTGCAGGAGGGGCTATGGGGGAAAACTTCCAGCAGCACAGAACCGAGTCCTGGCAAGGCTGCTCATGTATCTTAGGCTGGTTCTGCTATTATACTGTGGCTCATGTATCATGGCCATGCACAGGAATAAATATATATTATGTTGCCTATGCCCAATGTGTGGCCTATGATCTTCCTAAGGTATGTATTCTGAGTCATGGGGTATTTCCACATCGTGTTCAGTTCCAGTAATATGGCCCTTAACTTTAAAACATGTGGGCTGCTATAAGCTGCACCATGATCTCATTTGGCTTGGCAATGCTTGCAGCACATCTAAAACAGGACCTGCCATCGTGAAATCTGGCTTTGTGGACAGAGACTTGGATGAATTTGGGCCACTTTGGAGCATGACTTCGTGGAAGCTTAAGATTTAAGGGATTCAGTCATGGAACTCCAGCCTTTGGTGTGATCCAGCGGGGCTCCCCTTCTACTTTCTAAAACCAGCTTACTGCTGATTCATCCCATTGCCAGCAATTTCAGCCTGTGGCAGCTGCATCACCAACACCCACTCTAGTCAGCAAGTAGCTTTTCCTGGACAGCCACTCTGAGTAAAGGTGCAGAGCATCAAGACTCCAATTATTCTCTCCTCCAGAACGGCCCACTGCCATGGCTTGTTACCCACAGATATTTATCTTGATTGTGCCTTCCTCTTTATGCTTCATTCTCCCTTGCTACTGTGCAGAGGCAACAAACCATGGACCTTGGCTTGCCATTACATCCAAACCAGAGATCATGGTTTGACTCCCTTTCACCTCTGCTATTCTAAGTTTTCACTCTAGTAAACCATGATCTCTTGCCAAAATTTGCTTTTGGCTAACCAACTGCACTTTCTCAGAATGAGAAACAAACCACAAACACTGGCTTGGATGTATCCATACATCCAAGGATCATGGTTTGTGTCTTCCCAGTGCAAGCAGGGAGGATTGAAAGAACCCTCTTTAGACAGGTTTGGGGTACATTATTTACTATGCAGTACCAGTTTACCATGATGTGAACTGGTTCTATATCTGCTAAACTGTAACTCACAGAGAAGGAAGGGACTAAATTAACTGAAGTATTCCACAGTTGTGCACCTTGACTGTATATAGTATATACTGTCGAATTAAACCCCCCACCCAAAAAAAACCGCCCACCTCTCAGCACCCCCTAACTGTTAAAGAGGTATAAGTCTTTTAAATGTGTGGTGTGTGAGAAACCTTTGCGTGGTAAATAAATTATGCAAAGTAGTCCGCACAGGAATGTGAATGGTCAGACTAAAGCCTTGCTGTACATTGACAACGATATTTCTCACTCTACCAACTAACAGGGAAAGTCTTCCCTGAAGCAGTCCATTTCCCCCATTTTAGCTTAGGGCTGAAGTTTTCCTCAGGAGAGGGGGGAAAAGGATACTCAAGGAGGACTACTAGTATCTGCCTCTATCGGTGGAGGCAGTAATGCTTCTGAACACCAGTTTCTGGAAGCTGCTGGAAGTGGGTGTGCCCTTGTGTTTGGGCCCTGCCTGAGGGTTTTTCCACAGGCATCTGGTTGGCCACTGTGAAAACAGGATACTGGACTATACACCAGGCTCTCCTTATGTTCTTATGGAATCATGTGGTGTCAAACTGAGGCGTCAGCGGAGGAAGAACCAATGTTGCCTTTGACGTTTCATGCCTTTGCACCGTAGGGGGAGCTAAACCCCCATGAAGACACCTAATACCCTGATGTTGATGATGATGATAATCCTAATAATCAAACCCTTCGTCGGATCCTCCCTCAGTGGGCCACCACTAGTGCAGTCAGTCACCGCCATCACCCCGGTGCAAGCAGGCCGGGGACCAGTGTGGGATGGAAACAGAGGGGGTATAAGAAAGCCCACCCCCCCTTAGATGATCTGATACATAGGAGAAACACTGTTCCCCTTGACCATGATGTTTGGAGAAACCAGCAAAAGAAAAGGGAAGCCACGACTGCGAGATAAAAGCCTTACCACTAATGTGAGCCTCAAAGGTTGCGGCACTACCCTCCAGTGCCACAACGCTTTGTAACGGCTGCGTGAACGTCGGCGCTTTGGTTGACATCTTTAAAGGCACTCTGAAAAGAAAGACGGAAATAAAAAGCGTATGTGAGACGTCGATCCTTCTGAAGTCCTGAGCATAGACAGCATGACCAGGTGACATGAAACTCTTTGCCCTAAACTTCCCTATGGAGTGATTCCCGCTGATGACATTCTTGACTGAGTCACACCCTAATAGCAGCATTTTATGGAGGTTGATGCATTGTAATTATCTATAGCTCTGATTAGCACAGTCAGTGACCTGGTTGCAAATGGCTTAAAGGGTATAGAATCATGGAGTTGCAAGGGACGCTGGGGGTCATCTAGTCCAACCCCCTGCAATGCAGGAATCTCAGCTGAAGCATCCATGACAGACAGCCATCCAACCTCTGCTTAAAAACCTCCAAGGAAGGACAGTCCATATTGCCAAATGGAAATAAGCATGCTGCTCAAGAGCCTCCTATCTCATGCTGCTATTGCTTTATTATCTGACATTTGCTGCACTCCTTAAGCCAGAGCTTCCCTAACTTTTCATGTCGGTGACCCCCTTTTCAGACACGCATCATTTTGCAACACAGTAATCCGGCTTTACTAGCAAACCGGAGGTTAAACTAACCCCTTTCCAGCTCCGGAATGAGCTCAGGGAGCGTTCACGAGACACACCTACACACTGCAGCCGACACACAAACGTGTTGCGATTCACCGTTTGGAAAGCTCTGCCTTAAGCCCTTCTCAAACCAGAAGTGAAAATGGAGGGGTGGAGGGTGGGAGGGAATGATTTTATTCAAAATCACAAAACTGCCCTAAAGTGCTAGTATCATTTCCCCATTCCACGTGCCTTTAAATGAGTGACCATTAAAGTATGCTGGAAATCTTCAGTCTATGTGGAAATTTAGAAGTGTTTAAAAAGAACCTCCTTAGAATGCTTGATAGTTTCCTTTCATACAAAAGATGAACTCTGTGGGGAGAGGTGGGGGGAAGCAGAATAAAAATGTACTTGTAAAACATACAAGCAGCACAGTTGAATCTAGGTTAGAGAGTGAGGAGCCCTGTGAAATGTGAGCTAGGCTATAAGATAACTGACATTGATGTTTTGAACAACTGCAGGAAGGTGCAAAATCTGACCCCGCCCCACCCCTAAAACATTTGTTGGTAAAACACAATGTCCTCACTTTCTGGCAAACCACATAAAAAAAGCATATAGCCATGTAATAATTCAACTCAGTATACAGGACCTATAATATCCCTCTGTATTTATTTGCCTGCTGGATTTGTCATAAAAGAGGCAGGTTCAGTATTCTGATATCTTTAATGAATTCCCACAAAACTACAAACTGAGGTACCAGAGATTTTACTAGTGGCATATGGGAGGCCTATTTCTCTGAGTTATCTTAAAAACTCCTATGCCTGTAAGTTCAGACAGCAGAATTCCACTAAGATAATAATAGAAAGCTTCATAATAGCAATATGAACATGCTGCCTTTTTCTGTATATGGCCCCCTTTCTTCTTAAATAGTTAAAACTTCCAGATTTCTAACAAGTGAATTCCTTTACATGAATTCGTTGCAACGCTTTAGTCTTAAATTGAGAATATTTAGATGACTTTACAATGTCATTTTCCAAGTTGGGTTCCTCACATTACCTGAAGCAGAAAGAACTGAGCTAAAAGGAAAGAAAGCAAAGACTACTTAAGGCGACTTAATTCCATAGCATAGATGTTTCAGTCCCCAATTTGTTTTTTCTCTCTACCTTAATGTAGTGGGGAAAATTGCTGTTTATCCAAACGGTAATCTTATATGACTTTTGTATCATTAGTATTTCGAAAGTATGCCTGTGAAATGTCACATTCCAAAAATAACCACCCCCGGGTTTGACTGACAGCAGGCAAGTGGTCCAGATCGGCAGTGTAACGGATACCCCAGCAGCTGATTCCCTTAAAAAGTCATCAGCGACTAGCCGATGCCATGTGCATTTTATCAGAGCTATTCTGGGAGCATCTCCGTTTATCTGCAAGTAATATAACCTTGAGCACTCCCTGGAAGCATAAAGTTAACCAGACATTTTAATAGGCATATATATATATATGAAATAGCTTTTCACACTCAAGCACATTTAAAGACATATTAGCCAACTATTACAAAGACCTAAAAATTCATTCGCCAGGATATCTCTACTTCTGCATTCTGGTTTGAAAGAATCATGTAGGACTTCATGCTTTTCTCCCACCCCCCTTAATTCAAGCTACTATACACTCTTAGGTACATGCATTTTGTACCAGGGCTTTACTTGACAAAGAAAACACAGCTCAGTCAATCCAGGCATGCCACTCACCTGATTGCACAAGAGTGCCTAAACTGGGTGGGCTGCGCCCAAACGTAAGTTCCTTAAACGACGTCCTTATCCAGAGTATGATTTTAAACAATCCCAACATGAGAATGGTTGAGCCTCTAGCCGAAAAAAACAAAACTACACGGTTGAGACGGTGTAGTTTTGCTTCTCCCTGCAATCCCTACACCCGAGGCGAGGCTGGGAATGCACGACTGCTCAGAAGTGCTAACATGGTTGTTTAGCTTTTTATACCCCAGATCTGCTGACAAGTCTGCCTCTGTCACCTCGGCCCCACTTCTGATTGGCTTCCCCAGCAGAAAGGGGTGTATGTCCGCTTAATGCAGTGGGCCACCTGTTTGCCTGATTGACAATGCTAATTTTGGCACTAGAAAGAGAGGCCATGCTGAGGAACAAGCAACCAGTTTTTTTCCAGAAAGGATAGTTGTGGGGGGGGGGACTGGGATTGTATCTGCTGCTACTAAAAAGTTCGTGCCTTAGGTATCTTTTTTTAAAAAAAGTGGAAGAGTAAAGAAATGGGGTCAGGGTGTTAATAGAGATGTTATTAGCTAATTGTGATAAAGAGTCAACTAAGTAATGGGCTCTTCTAGTCCCAGTCCAGCCAAACCATCCATTTGCCTCCTTGCAAACCAAAAAAGGGCAAATTCAACTGTCCATCTCCTGGTCAAATAAGTAAGCTGGTTGCATACCAGGTGGACTACTTATACTGGAAGAATATATTATTTTGACTTAATAAAGGTAATAAAGCCTTTACATGTCAGAGCGATTAGAACTTCTGAAGAAAGTTCATAGAATCATAGAATTGAAGAGTTGGAAGGGACCCCAAGGGTTATCCAGTCCAAATCCCTGCAATGCAGGAATCTCTGGAAGTTAAGGCATTGCTTCAAAAAAAAAAAAAAAGGTAAAGGACCCCTGGACAGTTAAGTTCAGTCAAAGGCAACTATGGGGTGCGGCGCTTATCTCGCTTTCAGGCCAAGGGAGCTGGCGTTTGTCCACAGACAGCTTTCTGGGTCATGTCACCAGCACACGGAAACACCACTTACCTTCCCGCTGGAGCGGTACCTATTTATCTACTTGCTCTGGTCTGCTTTCGAACTGCTAGGTTGGCAGGAGCTGGGTCAGAGCAACGGGAGCTCACCCCGTCGTGGAGATTCGAACTGCCAACTTTTTGATCGGCAAGCCCAAGAGGCTCAGTGGTTTAGACCACAGCACCACCTGCATCCTACATTGCTTCTAGGATGACTTAAACGATGTTCCGATGCAAACAAAAGCATTTGTTTATTTCATATAAATTGGAGATAATCCTTGATCAGAGATCAGAGGTTGGACCTAGCAAAGAGGAATAAAAACTGTGCTGCAAACAGCAGAATGTTCAAGAGGGGTGGTGTTTTGCAGTCCACCTCCCCGCTTCGCAGAAAATGAATGCAGAGATAAGGTGTTGACTGCAGCCATGGTGCCCTTCTGTTCATGGAAGGGCCTTGGATGCAGAGAAGCTTCCATGGGGGAGAGGAGGTTGGTTTTGGTACCAGTCTTGCCTTTCCCATGGAACCTTCTGGATAAGGGCCAGCCCAAGACATTTTGGCACCTGAGGCGAACCCCAAAATGGTGCTCTCCTCACTGCAAGGGAAGAAGGGGTGAGTGAAGATCTACATCAGGAACACTAGGGGAAGAAAGATTGACATCGGGATCTGCTGCACCTGTGGATCTTGCCATCTGAGGCAGTCACCTCACTTGGCCTCACTGGTGGGCTGACCCTGCTTTGGCCCACCAAAATCTGCTCATTGGTGTTCATTAATGTCAGTGGGTATACTCTGAGTAAAATTTAGTTGAATACTACTTAAGGGACATTTTAATTTGAAAAGTGGGGTTGTCTCCATCATGATTATCAGAGATAGGTCACCTTTACTCCCATTTGTAGGAGGGGACCTGAGGCTGAAAATAGTGGTTTACTCAAGGTTTCACGATGAACTGTGACAAAGGTTGGACACAGTCCAGCTCTCCAAGATGGATGGTGAACACAACTTGTCTAGGAAGTTTATGATGTCCTGGATGCAATGCTGGAAAATTAGCTTCATGATTAAAGTTTCATTATGTGGACAAAACACTAAATTATTGTCGAAGTGTTAATCCATATTACCAGGGGAAACAGCCATGTTATTAGGGTAGTAGTTAAAATCTGGAAAGTAACAATTTATAGCAAGCTCCCCCTTGAATGTCTTCTTAAAGACTGAACCATTTTAAGGGGAAATATTAATTCATTTATTTATGAAATGTATAGCCAGCTTTTCATCTAGGGTTGGAAGAGAAATTCCACTCCGTTCACATTTAAAGGCACCCACTTTTTGGAACAATATATGAACCAGAACACAGATACCTTTTGAAATTTGCACTTTTCAAAATTTTGTAGTGCCGTTCTTTTGTAATGTAAACAAAAATGCATATACTCAGCTAAAGTGTGCATAAAGTTGCTTAGTGACCATAACATACAAAACTTAAGGAAAATTGCTTTACATATATATATATGTTCTATTTATTAAATTTATATACTGCTCATCATGCAAGGGTCACAGTGTAGTTTGCAGTATAAATAGGTATCTTAGTAGAAATTCACATGAAAATACCAATGATTTTTAAAAATACAAACTGATACGGAAATGTGGAAAACTGAACTTAAGATTGGTAAAAAGAGAGAAGCGTTTTATTTTCGCCACGTGTCTCAAAATGGCTTCTCAAATATTGCCATGCCCGGTTGTCACTGGATCTAGCACTGGATCTGACTTCAATATCTGAACTAAGAACACCTCAGAGACTCTTCTGATTGGCTGGCCTCCCACTCCGGTGAGCTCGGCACGTTGTTGCTTAGCAACGAGACTACAACAAAGCATTAGTGCAAGGATTTCTCCTTGTGCAACTGAATCATCTCCCCTTCTTCTTACCCCACCCACGCCCCATAAATCTGTTCTCAGATTTCCACGCAAGTCTCTGTATCATATTGGGGGACAGTGTTCACTTGTGTGTTTCCCTTGTGGTGTTAGTCCTTGCACTCGTGCAAAAATGTAGAATAGTGCCCTATATAGTTATATATTTAGGATTAAAATTACCTGTACTCTCGCCTTCTTTGACAACCAGGGCAGGTTTGATCTATGGCTATCACCTCAACTCTACGGTGTCCGCGTAGGATCTTACTTTTCCCCAAGGCAGATGTAGCATTACAATAAGTAGCTCATGGCCTGAGGGTTCAGTTCAGGCCACAGGGGACTTTTTGTCTTGTTCCCAAATTCTACAGACTTTCCCCTAGACCCTAGTTATGTACAACGGCTATTCCCTCGGCTATTCAAGCCAAAAAAACAGAGCATCAAAACTGTGTCAGAACTTCTGTGGTTGTTTCTACTAAGGAGACAAAATTTAAGCCTCCCGTGTGGTTGTGTGTCGACTTGTGTCAGCCGTAGGCAGCTGAAGCCAATCTTGCTAGGCCTTCAGCCCAGGCCCAATTGAAAATATGGCAGCTACTAAAATTAGTCGCTGACTAGAGCACTAGAGTATATGAAGTACTGATACCAACCACAATGACAAGGCACAAGTAATTCAAAAGCTCTTCTAAGGGTCAGCTTCACGCCCTATAACTATAGCCCTTTTCAGACATTCTTCTCTACTTGGTTTTAAATCTCCACACGGAAGGAATAGCAGAATATATGTGTGTGAGAAAGATGGAATTTAAAAACCTGTAGTCTAGTAAGCGGGTTGTTTTATTTTTTTTGCATTCCCAGTGATTTACAAATAAATTACTTTCGTCTATAATGAACAGTCATCATTAACCACATGGTTTATTACAGAATGGCTACAGTGTAACATATGATTTATTGTCAAACCATGAATTGTGGGTGTTGTCTGAATGAATATGCATTACGTCTAGAAACTGAAGTTTCATTTTTGTTTGCTGCTTTTTCAACAAATCAATACTTTTGAAAGATAAGGAGAGGGATGTGTCTTCCCAGGTGTTGTTTATATGCACATATTCACATTCTGATGTGTTCACAAAATGTAAGGGGGGGGGAATAAATGAACTTTACACTTACATTTTCAAGCAAAATATTTATTTCTTATGGACAAGTTACATTTGTTAAGTTTTAGTTCTTGCTATGCGGTTGAATATAATATAATCATAATGGGTTATGTAGACAGATTTCACTTCTGTGCTTTTGCTGTGAGGAGGAAATGTGTGATAAGCTAAAGAAAGCAAACAAGAACATAGTCCACAACTTTTGTGACAGATGAGCAAAACTCTTTACTCTGGGCTAAGACAGAAGAGGGACGCAGGTGGCGCTGTGGGTAAAAGCCTCAGCGCCTAGGACTTGCCGATCGCATGGTCGGCGGTTCGAATCCCCGCGGCGGGGTGCGCTTCCATCGTTCGGTCCCAGCACCTGCCAACCTAGCAGTTTGAAAGCACCTCCGGGTGCAAGTAGATAAATAGGGACCGCTTACCAGCGGGAAGGTAAATGGCGTTCCGTGTGCTGCGCTGGCTCGCCAGATGCAGCTTGTCACGCTGGCCACGTGACCCGGAAGTGTCTGCGGACAGCGCTGGCTCCCGGCCTCTTGAGTGAGATGAGCGCACAACCCTAGAGTCGGACACGACTGGCCCGAACGGGCAGGGGTACCTTTACCTTTTACCTTTAAGACAGAAGAAGTCATAAACAAACCCAAAGTTGCAGGGCCTCTCCAATACATCCCATATCACACCTAAAAATCAGAGAGCTCAGTTGATGTGCTCTTTTGAGTGGCAATTTCCAATATCTCTAACCTCCTTAAAACTGAAAACATGGGATCATATATTGTGGCACATTTCCTTATTGGAGAAACGCACACAAAACTGAAAATTGCCAGGGGGGGAAAGTATACAGAATAGGTTTCAAGCTTTTTGAGTTAATGGACGTTAGTCAGCGTGGTCATCCCCTGCCTTCCCCTTATTCTCATTTGTGGTTTAGGTAATAACTTTTGGGTAGGGAAGGAGCAACATGGCAGCCTGGAAGCTGCATGGAAGATGCTAGACTATTGCCACCGGCCTGCTCGACTCCTTCAAAATGATTATGCAACAGCATATGATTTATTTGTAACCATCTTTGTCCTTGCTTTATATTTTGTAACTTGTTTCGTACTTGTTTACTTTTACACTGAATTATTTTCTTTAA